ACCTTGACAGGTTTCTGGTACGCCAAAGGGACACAACTCCAGCGCCTTGGACGACTGGGCCACCCGTGACCCCTGACATGATGTCTGTGCGGAGGGATTCTCATTTATTCAGATAAATCCCCATGGGGAGTTTTCTGTCTGTCTGTGAACGTGTTGACCTTGCACACGTATAAATACCAAGCATCCACAACCGCAATCCTTGGCTCCCAGTATCACGTTATAACGGGGTCCTCTGTATAACAATAACTATAGGTCGGCAGATGTTGAGTTGGCAAATGTCACACGAATATAAATCATGTGTGCAATTTGCAAATCAATTTCTATGTCGGAAGGGATTACTCTGCGGTGAATGTTAGCCAAATGTCAGCTGAAGCTTGTATTGTTATTGGAATGGAAACGTAATAACTTGACGTACCTTGATCATGTTGTTTCATCGTACAGATCCGGTATTCAAACGGCTTTCAACACAGAATCCCCAACCGCCGTACAGAAATTCCTATTGTGCAGCCAAACACTTAAATTTGCGTAAATAACAGGATTTTATTTTAAATCTGACTTTTATCGACTGTCTTAAAGAGATGCCAGGCTCTAAAATCTGGTAGCCATTTCACGACCAGCATATCTTACGGTAATTACCTGATTTATTTCAAAGTGTCTTTCATCGACAGCCTTAAACATTTTAAGAGGTACTAGACTCTGGAATTTGGCAGATACTTTCTATTCACGTCTAGACGGTGTATAGTTAGTACTGTGCGTGGATTTGTACCATTGTCTCTGTAATTGGAGGATCCATTATCTCCAGATTCAACCAGATCATGAGAATTGGTTTAGCAAAAGAGTAATGTGGGGATATGGTTAAAACTTGCTGGTAATATAGTTTTTCCTTTTCATCACTTTCCAAATGTTGATCTGTCTGGAATCAAAATTGCAGGAAAGTTGAGTTGAGGTGAAGTATAATTCCACTCACGTTTGTCTGTTTGTTGTTTAACGGCGCACTCAGCAATATTCCAGCTATAAGACGGCGGTCTGTAAATAATCGAGCCTGGACCAGACAATCCAGAGATTGACATCATGAGCATCGATCTACACAATAGGGGTACGATGACATGCATCAACCATGTTAGCGAGCCTGACCACTCGATCCCGTTGGTCGCCTCTTACGACAAGCATAGTCGATTTTTACGGCAAGCATGGGTTGCTGAAGACCTATTCTACCCCGGATCTTACATCTATTTACAGACTGCTGTAATAAAGCTGGAATGTTGTCGAGTTCGGCGTTAAACAAAGAAAACAGGAGATAGAATTTCTGTGCACTTAGGAAGCATATTGAAACAATTAGGTATTTTGGATAAATGACGTTTCAAAGGAACCTATTGAAGTGGTCTGCACTATAACAATACCCCTGAACGTCATGGAGCTTTTGTCCTCAAAAGTGTTTTAAAAATAGTGACAATATTGAAAGTACAAGTATACAGTTAAATGCAGGTCTCCAATCACAAAAATCAGATTCTGCCTCAGATTGGTCAGGATTAGGACATACTCTCTTACATCATCATAACATAGAAACAGGTGACGCCAGACGCATTAGACTCCCAATTGATAAGCAAAATGCAGCCATTAGGAAAGAATGTTCCAGAAAGGTGCAAAAAATGTTAGGAGCCAATATAATTCAGCCCAGTTCTTCTGAATGGCACTCTCCCGTTGTCATGTTTAAAAAGCGGGAAGTTCTTACAGCTTTGCCGTAGATTATAGATGCCTCAGAGTAGTTACTTAGCCTACATTTCCCCCTCTACCACGTTTTGAAGATGTCGTTGATGCCAGACATGGGCGACAGCCAGGCCAATATATCTAGTGTCCTTGATTGTGCTAGTGGCTTTTGGCAAATACCACTCCACCCAGATACAAATACAAGTCGTCCTTCATTACACTCGATGGTGTTTTGGAGTGGAATCGCATCCCGTTCGGCCTCAAAAATGCTCCTATGGCATTTACTTGGGGCATATTTTCAGCAAAGACGGCAATTATGTCGATCCTTCAAAAATAGATTCAGTCACATAGATCCCACCCCCTAAAAATGTCCATGACGTCCTTAAAATGTCTTAGGTTTGGCCTTGTATTATCGCAAATTTGTAGCAACCTTTTCTGGCATCGCCTCCCTTCTATACAACCTGAAAAAAGACGCGTCTTTCGAATGGTCCAACAATTGCCAACAGGCAATTGAAAAGCTAAAGCAAACCCCCAAAAGAACCCCCATCCTTGCATATCCCAACCAAAACAAACCCTTCATCGTCACAACTGATGCATCCCCAACTGCAATAGGCTACATTGTATTATGAGTGAGTGATTTGGGTTTAACGCTGCTTTTAACAGTATTCCAGTTATATCGCGGCGTGTCAGCTTAGTGTGGGAGGAAAGCCCGAAGTGATGTAGGTCTCAGACGTTTACCACTTCGGTGAAACCCACGAGCACGGGTATGGTGCTGACAAACCTAGAAACATAATCGGGGCGAACCGGGATTCGAACCCACAATCATAGGTTTCTGGCGTGCCCAAGGGACGCAACTCTGCACAGCGAATCGCGGCGCCTTAGACGACTGGGCCACCCGTGCCCCCCATTTTATTATGGCTTTGCTCACGAAATGAAGATGGTCATATTGCGGTCGAGATTTCTTTTTATTGAAGCCGAGTTTCTTTGCTTTTTGAGCAGATGGAGGCTTAGTTTATATTTTCACAAAATTATGAGCTTTGTTGTTTGTTGTTGTTTTTGAAAAAAACGGGCCCCCCTAGATATCAAATGGTCCGCCCCTTAGCTGACGAAACACACAGTATACAAACATCCATGCATTATGGGGGCGGTGGGGTAGCCGAGAGGTTAGAGCGTCCGCTCGTCACCCGGAAGTCCCGGGTTCGATTCCCCACCTGGGTACCATATGTGGAATATCGCTAAAACCGGCGTAAAACCATACTCACTCACTCCACGAATCATGTGAATTACACCACATGACAGCCAACGAACACATACACCTTGAACAGTTTGTTTTGAAAAGATTAAACAAACTTAAGACATGACCCCGCCTCGCACGGTTTTCACATTCGGATAAAAATCTAAATAATTGCTATATTGTGACCTAAGCGTGCATCATGTTACAACGAACGCGGGCATATTTGGGAGAAGGAAGAGTCAGTCAGGATGATGCATTGTCGTCTCACAGGAAGCAGCGATTACCTCCCCAGATCGTAGTCACGTATCAGCGCAGGACGTTTAGGATATACTGGTTTGATAACATTACCTAGATCATCTACCGGAATATAACGAGCGCTGTCTGCACAGTGAACCGAATGAGCAGAGTAGTGTTACTTACATCCAACGATGATTCATATTATATGTAATACGATAGATGGTAGATATATGTGTATAGTACTTGGCTTGCTATCAAGTGGCGTCAACTGGTATATGATATGACTGACTGAGGCACCTTCGGTTTCAAATTGAGTCGGGGGCATCAAAATCTGTTATGCCATACATCTTAATAAAAATATATTCTCTTTGATGGTTACGCAGGTTTTGGTTTGTGGTGTCTGTGAGTGTGTGAGTGCGGTTTTACGCCGACTTTAGCACTAAGGAATCCTGTCATATTATGGCGTGGACACATTGGCTTTTCCCATTTTGAAACCAGGTGTGGAGGAGCTAAGGTCCTTGGCGTGATGAGCCTGTGTCTTAACCTCCAGGCAACATGTGGCCATGATTTACATGTATGTTATCAATCAAACTAGTCAGACTATTTTCATAGTTCGGAGCCAATACCGGAATATCCACGTGATTACAGCAGTTAATCTTGAAATCCGGCGGCATATTGGATTGTCGCCGATGGCGGTTTTGTATACACTACCACGCTCATTGTATAAAAATCGCGATGTATTGACGATGGTCGGCTATGAATGAGTGATTTGTGTTTAATGCTGCTTTGGAAAGTATTTTAGTCACACCACGGATTGGGTACAATTTTACCAGAGCCATGTGGCTGATCAAGTTGTGTAAGTAGGTAACTGGTGAGTTTTACACACCTTTCAATATGTCACAGCATATCAGCTTACCGCGGGGAAATTCCACAACGACACAGATCGTTTATGTTTACCATTTCGCTTAAACCTGCGAACATGGGTCTGCCGCTTGAAACTATCAAAGATCCTTTTATCTTGGAGTGAGTGAGTGAATTGGGTTCAATACCGCTTTGAACAGTATTCCAGTTATATTACGGCCTGTCATCTTTATGTGGAAAGCCAAAGTGATGCAGGTCTTAGACCTTTACCATTTCCGTGAAATCAAATGGGGTGAAATGTCAGGCTACATGACAGGCAATCAACCAAGCCATCAGTGGGATGAACTGAAATGGGGTTTAATACTCTGTTCAAGATTATTACACTTATATAATATGTGTGTTGGGTGCTGGGTGCCCGCACTAGTTCAGACCAATGTCAGTTTTATAGTACTAGCCCACTGAGATACCATGCCGCAGTTTAACATGGATATCCCACTCTGACACAGTATACTGACTCTGAACGACCAGTCCTATCACTGTAATGTAGAGCGCCAGGCATCTTTCAGTGCTGTTGGTATAAAGCTCTTGCAGCAACCGCCCTATCCACTAGACCAGGAAGACAGTCACCAAGTCATTGACCTGGACCACACAATCCATTTAGATGCCTTTTAAAACAAGCATAGGCTACAGGGCACCAATTCCAATCCAGACAGCCCACAGGATGAATGTATGCTGTGATGTCCTCAGTCATCAGTGTTGCTGGAAGGAGTGTTTTTCATCACCAAATTGGGTAATTCTGAGACGTCTCAGTTGGCCGATAAAAATAATCAGGGCAATTTGGGATTCCAAACACTATAGGGAAATCCTGGCACATTAAAGGGACACAACTCTGCACAGCAAACATTGCAGTGGCTTGGACTGCTGGGCCACTGATGCTGTAACACTGTAACTATGTATATCCTTTGTGATTAGTTTTATTACACCATGAAACTTCATGTAGCACTACAATTCTATGCATTTAAATAAAATTGTAGCAATGAATGATATATGAGAATATGATCATACACATCATAAAAAATAATATACACTTTGACAGGTGGTGACGACATGCTATTAACTGAAATACACAACACGTGTGTAAACAATTCCATCAATCAGATTCATCTTTAAAATCTGTAATTCAATTGTATTCTGATATTTTATGAAGCACATATAATATTTTTTCGTCAAAATATACACTCTCCAGTATTCAGTTCTGGTCAGCGGATGCCATCATTTAAAACATCTGTTATATGAGCAACTAGGTTCTCTCCTCAAAGCAGTCTTAGTCTTAAGACGAATATGGAGAATCTCACTCGTATTTTAACATCAAACACAATCAAATCAAATTGTTGTATAACAACAAAGTTGAGAACTCTGAGACTTGCTGTGAAGTATAACTCTCTTATCAACCAATGTTGATATATTTGATGTCAATAGAAACAAGGGTGAGATTCTATTTATCATCCAAAATAACTTTCGAACTTTTTAGTTTGTAAACAGTGATAACCTTTGTATTGACCATGAAAGTAGAACTAACCATCTTCAGTGGCAGAGAGATTGTGATGTCATTGTAACCTATGACATCACAATGGTCTGCAAAGTATTGAGATGCAATATAGTTGTGATATCTCCTAGGAGACAGGTGGCCTCACTCAAGCAATATCGCCCATGGAACATAAAGGTCAGTGTCATCTTGTAGTCACACCTAAAACAAAACCTGCCCTGAGCTGAGGAGGCAAGAGGAGATGGCATTTACTGGCATTGGTCACCAGGTGTCTGAACTGGTGATGTACAAGCAGTGGTTGTATCATGACAGGGAGAGGCTTGCATGCGGATGAGGACACGCTGTATCTCCAACCCTGCCACGGCAGTCCAACTGATATTTCAATGCACAATGGAGAGAGTGAATAGGGTTTGACACCACTTTTAACAGTATTCCAGTTATATCATGGTCTAAATAGCACAATAGAAGAATAGTTCTGCTTATCAAGTCATTGTCACAGAACCAGCGTATAGCAAAGAGATGGAATCAGTCAGATATGACAAATACTGCTATTTCATTACAGTCATGCAGACAATCATGTAGATTTATATGTATCTACATAGTAAACATGACAGTATGCTGGCTCAATACTCATATGCTGGTCTGTCAGAGAGAGCATCTTCTTCACATACAAGAAGCAGCAAGCAGGCTGTGGTTGCTGAAACTCGATGCGTGAGTACGACTCAACACAGCTTTGTTGCTTGTAATGGCATGTCAGCTTGATGTTGGAGGGAAGTCTTGGGTCTTAGATGCCATCACTTTCGTGACACCCTAACACACACAAACCTAGAAGCAATCAGGATAAATCTGGGATTTGAACCCACACTCATATTTTTCTGTCAGATCAGTCACACAGTGGATTGAGCTCTGTAGACAGCTGGGACACCCATGCCCCATTCTGCTGCAGAAACTCAGTGGTTACAAACAGAACCTGGCACGATCATACATCTAGAGTATAATAGCACTGGAACTCAAATAGTCCACAAAATGTTTTGTCTTGAAATGCAGATGTATTCCTAATTCCGTCTTCAAAAACATCAGAATTATAATACTTTTATAAAATATTTGAAAGAAATTATATTACAAACTTAAATACAGTCCTGCCCTATGATACAGCTGGACACCACCAAACACCATTCCTGGCAGTTGACTAGCTCTTCCAGACCAAGGCCGACCAAGCACACTGACTCATCAGCTAGTAAACATCGTAACAGCTTTTTCAACATAATATCTACAATAATACAAGATAGCAGAGCCATATTTTATAGCAATTTAACCACAGAGCCCAAAGTTTGCGAAGAGTTCTAATTTTGTAAAATATAGCAATGTTAAGTTTCTCCAAGGTAAAAGGGCCCAGGTGAAACGAGGTCATACGACATGGGCAATATAGCACACTGATATCTGGAATTAAAACATTAGCACTTCTTCAGTCAGGATTGTTACACATCTGTAGCTGCAGGAAGCTGGTGACCTCAGCTGGCTTGATGACACCATCCAGGGTTGACGCTTGGCATCATGAAGGAAAGCCATGTTACCATGGTTACAAGGTCGGAAGCAATTATTTTGTAAATGACCGGAAATGTCTTCCGCCTCCACTGAAATCTCTTCGTCCCCGGAAACTGCCAGAAAACCTGAAACAGAATGAAACATTTGACTCTGTTGGTGATGCAGTATCTGAAGGTTATGTGAAGATCTTGATGCCATAAAAAAAATCATAATAGAGGCTACTGCAATTAATATCTCTCTTACTTGAAGCTATGATCAGAGGTTGTTGGAACACCTAAGGGACACAGTGAATCATTGTGCCGTGGGTCACTGGGTCAGATCAGTGTGTTATGAAACTTGACAACAACTGATGTCACAATCGTACATTAATAGTGTAATATCACTAGCACTTGAATACATCTCTTTGGGGGGTCTCAGAACAAAAGCATGAAACATAATGGCAATTCCAACCTAAACATCTTATTAGAAAACTAAAGAGCAAGCACCAAGTAGAGGCAAGCTTTTTGAATGAGTGAGACAATAATTAAAGATTACACACTGTTTTATCTGTGTGATACTTGATAAAGATATGTCATTTCCATGTCAAAGCCTTTTGATAGTATTGTTTGTTTGTTGTTTAATGCCTCACTCAGCAATATAACAGCACATAACTGCATCCTGTAAATAATCAACTTTGGACCAGACAATCTAGTGATTGATATTATCAGCAACAATCCATGCCATCAGGGTACAATGACACGCCTCCCCGTGAAGATCCAGGGTAGAATTGGTCTTCAGCAACCCATGCTTGCCGTAAAAGGCAACTATACTTGTCAAAAGAGGCGACTAATAGAATCGCGTGGTAAGGCTCAGTCACTTGGTTGATACATGTCATGGTATACCAATTGTGTAGATCAATGCTCATGTCAATCACTCGATTGTCTCGTCCAGACTCGATTATTTACAGACTGCCATCATGAAGCTGGAATATTGCTGAGTGTGGTATTAAACAACAAAACAAATATATGTTGACACGCAATGAACCTAGCCACCAAGCTTGACCACATGATTCATAAAGTCGTCCTGTATGGGGGGCGGTCAGGTAGCCTAGTGGTTAAAGCGTTAGCTCGTCACACCGAAGACTCAGGTTCGAGTCCCGACATGGGTACAATGTGTAAAGCCCATTTCTGGTGTCCCCCGCCGTGATATTGCTGGAATATTGCTAAAAGCGGCGTAAAACCATACTCACTCACTCGTCCTGTATGACCAGCACAGAATGCTGCAGACTTATTTGAATCCCCATGGGGTGAAAGTGTTGAAGAGTGGCATGCAGTCCCTACCTGGAATCATCCTTCCCTTTCCCAAGCCACTGGTTGCCTCCTCCTCCTCCTCGTCCCCCGCGTGGGGTGAAGCGTGAGTCCCGGCTCCCCCCGGTGTTGTTGCCCCCACCGCGGCGGTCAGTGGGGCTGGCTCGGTCACCATGCCTGTCAGGAGTCAGAGAGGAACAACATGAGATTAATCAGTTAACTTACAACATACTTTATATTACCTCCACGTCAGAATGATGAGATCTGATTGGTCCACATAAAACACTTTGTGACCCGCCTTGGAGGGGAATAAATCCCTTATACCTAGCCATGAGCAAGAATAAATCCTTTATCCCCCGCTTCCAATATAAAAACCACATGCTTTCTCCAAGTCATTGAAAGTCACATGACACAGCACAAGCTAACCTCCACTCAATCAAACAGCTGTTTTCTATCAATTTTGAGTTTGTTGTAAGTCATATTAAAATATGTCAGTAAGATAAATTCGTTGTGTATGTAGGAACTCAAGATGTTACTCATCAGAATTGACTGGCATATGTTAACCAATGGTACCAAGATTTATTTCATATTGTAAGTTGAACATTGTAAAACAACATGACAAATAGACAAAATTTGACCTTATATCAAGGTTACCAAAAGGTGATGTAATCAAGAACTGTCTTAGATATCATGCATACTAAGTTTCTTCAACTTTCATAGTACTATTCAATCACTAATACTCAAGTTATCTTGTACACAAACCTCTTGATGCCTAGTTCATACTGAGTGACCATGACCTTCAAGGCCATCCAATCATATGTCAGAGAATTCCCCCAAGATATATAGGAGGTATCTCAGGAAGGAAGTGTGTCATAAGCACGTGGCGGAGGAGCCCCAAATCAAGCAAATTAGGCAGCCTCCCATTTACAGGGGCTGCTCAGTTTCTTTAAAAGGGAGAGGGGGATCAATCCTCATGACATCCCACCTCCCCTCCTGATCCAACACTGGTTCAATAACATTTCCATCAGGCCATGGTTAGCTTATCTGCAACCATCTATCATAAATCTGATAACAAATTTTGTCAGCTCTTACAACAATCCCAGGGCAGCACAAGCTCGCGTCTCACTTACCCTCCTCTCTGGAAGGACCTGGGACTGGCAAAGTTGTACTTCTGTCTGCCCATGTAGGAACTGGTACCACCACGGGAGCTGCCAGCTGGAGACGACAAAACACACAGTCACTTGGCCAGCAAATACACAGAACGCAACACTCGACTTCCTACAATGACAGCTTTTGTCCACTACACCACAGATTTTTTAATCTCATGGCTGTTTTCTATCTGCTCATCCGCTTGAATACTGTGTCAAATACTTATGCTGAGAATTAAAGAATTAGTAACAACATGAATGATGCTTTCAGTCGTTTATTCAGGAGATTGAACCCTGACTGAGTGTTGTAAGACTGAGGACATTAGGTGGTTTATTATAGTCCGGTGTGTCATATGCTCAATTCAACTAGTGACTGAGTTGACTGGGGCCACCTTGAACAGTAATTGTCATATCATGACGTGTTTGCTTGATGTGGGAGAAAAGCCCAAAGTGATGCTCTAATGTTTACAACTTTGGTGAAATCCACAAGCATGATGTGGTTCTGACAAAACATAATCAGGGTGAACTGGGATTTGAACCCTTGATCATCGGGTTCTGGCGTGCCTGAGAGATACAACTGCAGAGAGAGTTTCAACGCCCCCAATACAAGTACGATGCCCATGACCCCTGTACCTCCATGTGCCTGGTCCCGTCTTGCATAGTTCCCAGGTGGAGTGAAGAAGCGCCCTCTGCTGGAGAATCCTCGACCTCCTCCACGATCCCCAAAGCCTCGGCCTCGACCTCTCATTTGTTCCTTCATGTCACAAAAACAAATTTTTTTACGAATGCTGACACTCTTAACAATGATGTCATCAGCCTTAGAGAGAGAGTAAGAGAGAGTGAGAGAGAGTGATCTTAATAGGTGATCCCTGATATGGTGTGAGCCCTTTTGAAGACCAATACCGTCATGCCATGACATATTAACTATAGTAATATGAATGAATCGCTTCTTCTTCTGAGTAGTGGGGCGAGGGAGGAAGGGAGAGTGAGTGAGTGAGTGAGTGAGTGAGTTTGGTTTTACACCACTTTTAGCAATATTCCAGCAATATCATGGCGGGGGACACCAGAAATGGGCTTCACACATTGTACCCATGTCGGGAAACGAACCCGGGTCTTCGGCGTGACGAGCGAACGCTTTAACCACTAGGCTACCCGACCGCCCCGAGGAAGGGAGAGAGAGAGAGAGATGACGAAAACATCACCACAATGACAGTACGTGTCCCTACCTTGTCATTTCGGCGTGGCGGTCCAGTGTGCATATGCTGGCCCTGGGGGTTGTTGTCAGGGTGACGCTGGTTCTTCTCCATCTTGATAAAGTCATCAACATGCATGGACGGAGGACGACTAGTGTTGGGTGGTCGAGACCGGAACGGGTCGGACCGGTTGGAGGCCATCATGCCGTGAGTTATGCCTCTTCCTCGCATTGGTGCAACTTAACATTCAAACAAAACCATACAAAATATTCTTCAGAAAGAAACATGCAGGGGAAGTGAATCAGATAATTTAAAAAAACAGATGAGAATTCAAATTAGTTTTTGTTGAGTTAACCAAGCATTACGTACCAAATGGTCTGTTTCCTCTCCTGCCACGATGGTTAATATTGATCACTTCCTGAGATCGGCGCCGGTCTCTGTCAGGAGAACAGTGAATAGTATTAGATTTTGGTTCACTCATGCTCATAGCAACTCTGAGCCGCGTTAGAAATTGGCACTAGTCCTGTCGTCCTTGCAAACTGCCCACTAGTTATGGTATCCTACGGACGATTAGAAAATTGCCATTTTTAAGGGTTTTGCTATATGTTATAACTCGTGGTCTAAAACTGTTAGTTTCTATCACTGCTCTGTGGAAATCTATGTCTTTTGTAACGTTTCCAAAGTACCCTTGTAGAGTGATTGAGGTGACTATTGTCTAAAGCTGCAATCCGCAGATACTGACGGCGCCACACTGAGAACAATACACAGGGTACAGGTTATATCAATCTTCAGTAACTAGGCCGGAGCCAGACTCAAGTCAAGTTGTGTTTGGTCGACTACACAAAGCTAAATTATTATATCTAAATATTTACATTAAATTCTGCTGAAGGTGATACAAAGAGACAAAAGTAGAGTGTGAGGTTGAGGCACACGCTGTAATATATACTACTCAAAAGACATTCAAGAACATTCGATTTTTTCAAATGACCATAGTCACTCCATCATGGCATGACAGATTAAGTCAAGTAATATGAAAGAATCGGGTGTTCTTAAACTTGTTTTGAGTAGTATATATCTGAGCAACTGGAGAGTGAAATTGCCCATGATGCACCACACAGCAGGGGCCCTGTCAGTGACCTGTCAACAACCGAGTGTTTGACACATGAAACAGGTGTGCGATAACATGAGCAACCATCAAAACAAGGTTTCAGGACACAACCAAACATAATCAGAGATAACTTCTAATCATTTCTTACGACAAATATGGGGGATGAACTATGTCCGAGGTAAGGGAGTAAGTGAGTTAGTTCAATGCAGCTTTGAACAGTATTCCAGTCATATCACATTGATACCAGCTTAGTGTGGGTGGAAAGCCCGAAATGATGCAGGTCAAAGATATTTACCACTTTGGTGAAACCAACGACATGGCTATGGTTCTGACAAACACAGCACATTGTGGTGCCCTAGACACCTGGGCCACCCATGCCCGGGGTACAGGGGCCTGTATATTGCACTGATACATGGCAGGAACAAAACATACACGAAGTGAGGATGTGACTATAATATAGTCTGAGTGAATGAGTTGCCATGTTTGAACATTATATATTTCCGCTTTTCCTCAATGAGACATTAATGGTCCTATTCATAGCAATACTCTATTTCGCCACTGATTGTTGGGGTAGCAAAATTCACGTCAATTAAATGTGATACAATATTTTCCCATTCTTTCCCATGATGCTATATTTTTCAAATATTAGCTGCGAAACAAATCTTGCAACACATTCACTGATCAAAACAACTCTTTGCTGGGAAACTACACTTTGCCATTTTTTGCTGCGATACTACACTTTGCCATTATTTGCTGCGATACTACACTTTGCCATGACTTGCTGCAATACTGTGAAGTGAATCAAGCACCTGAGTCTCCTAGGTTTAACAATGTCTTCAGCAGACGGCATAGAGTCTTTTCTCAGTTCTTGTTCCAGATCAAATTCCGGGAAATATTTTGAACACAGATCCTCCAAGTTGCAGCGTGCCAGTTCCGGCTCGGAGTCTGGTTCCTCCGTGATTGGATTAGCCAGCCAGTAGGTGGCGCTCAGTCTTTTATCATCACTATCACTGACAGTGAACACAGCTCGCTTGTTGAACAACACACTGAGAGGCTCCGGTGGGGACAGCTCCGGTTCCGTCAGATCTGTCAGAATACATTTTCCTAATGACATATCATATGAATGGGGAACATCAAGAAAATACTTGCATTAATCATGTTCATAGTATTTGTTTTGGGAGTCAACGTGATTTTATAAGCTGTCCAATCGAAAATAAAATGTTAATGAGGCTTGTGCTAATATCATGGAGACTTGGGGAAAAGTTCGTGTTATCGGGGGTTTGAGACAACATCCAGTTCGACACATCGAGGTTCAACTGCATGTGTTTTACAAGAAACAACGTATCAGAGCACGTTCTGTTCCAATGTGTTACATATTCTACTGGGAATACGTCAGATTTTGATTTGTCGTTTAATGCCGCGCTCAGCAATATTCCAGCCACATGACTGCAGCCTATTTACAATCAATTTGGACCAGACAACCAGTGAATGGCATCATGATCAACAATCCATGCTGTTGGGGTACGATGACACGCTATCAACCGAGCCTGACCACCCGATCCATAGTGCTGCTTAGTACCACAATCATAGGTTACTGGGGACCAATTCTTACTCAGAATCCCCACAGGGGGCAGGTTTTGAAGACTGAAAACTAAAAGGGTAGAAGCTGGGGTCACTGAAGGCTTTGATGTAAGATTGTCCGTAGCTACTGGACATTATGACCCATGGCCATGGAACAGATTCTAACTGCATTAGCTAATAAAGTGCTAAACATATAAAAATTAACAACAAACCAGAAAAGATATGTATATGTTGCCCTCAAACAATTTCAGCTATGTAGATACATGATGTTTGGTCATTAAAAAACAACACCTCACAAAAAGAAAGAGGTGATAAAAACTGTTCTCTCTATACACACTGGACACCATGACACTCACCTTTTCCTGGAGTGATGTCGGGGTCTCGGAGCATCTTGGTGAGGGATGTGATGCTCTCCAGCAGGCTCTCGAGGCTCTCCTCCTCCTTGGCAAACACCTGCAACACACCAGGAACATGATAATCAAAACATTTCCACAAGAACATATCTGAACTGTTGGTGATCATCTCAGAGATTCCTTTGGATTCCTAGCAAAGAGCCCTTTGCAGGCACATTGACAGAAAACTTGTTAGTTCGTTCAAAATAATTGAGTCTTGACCAAACAATGTTTGATAACATGAGTGCCATTCAACATTCAGTGACATCGGCATATGAACACACAACCAGATAACTCATCATGACTAGCTCTCTCTTTATAGTTGGCCCTGGATAGAGCATCTGTCCAGAGAGTGAAAGGCTGGTGGTTCTTTCCTAGGTCGTCAAACAATGCTAAAAGCCTGGCACTCTGCATTAAGAGGATAAAACAAAGGCTGGTTGGATCAGAGTCTGTATACTGTGTCTGAGTGGGGCATCCATGTTAAACTTTGGCGTGGTATCTCAGTGGGCCAGTACCATAACACCAGAATTAGTCTGGACTAGTACAAGCAGCCACACACAGCCACACACACACACACACACACACACACACAGTCATGCATGTTGCTATATTTATGCAATAATCTTGAAACTAACATTAAACCACATTTTACCTCGTATAGTTTACCCACAGGGTACAGAGGCCCTGTTCCACATAGTGATCGTACAGCTACGACTGTCGTAAGTCTATTTTAGAGTATCAGAGTTACGATCGTCTAAGCCCTGTTCACCCATCATCCCATGGAAGGCAAAACATGGAAGCAAAGATGCACAAACCTCCAGAAGCTTCTCCAGATCGTCCAGAGGGTGATCCTGGTCTGGTGTCCATGACAACAGTCCCCTCAGCTGCTGCTTGTTGATGATGTAGGAGCGTGCCACGCCCTCCTCCTCCTCCGGTGGGTCGAGCGACACAAGGAGACGCAGGAAGTCGAGACTGACGGAGAGAGTTGAGAGGCAGTCGGAGCTGTCCTTGCTGAAGGTGTTGTTCACCCTGGACAGCAGGCTGCTGAACACGGTCGTGTTCTTCTCCAGACATCTGTTGGGGAGATTACCACAGTTAGAAAGTATCCTTGGATATTAGGTTTGGATAACTTTTCACAACCCTTGCAAACTACTTTGTTATCATGGAAACAAAAAATAGTCTTTCACCATCAACCCTCATTTTGACACATAACCTTCAATTACAGTAGACTCCCTCAATTTCGAACCAATCTTTCCTTTCAGGTGAATTCAAGTTTTTGGTTCGTCCTTGTTATGTGCTACTGTCACGGGAAAGAATGGTGGAAATAAAGGATTTTTGAAAACTATCCGGGTTGGGAGTGGACTGTATTTTCTCTAGTAACATTTGCAGATACAACAAGTGCTAAATACAGGCTGAACTCGAACACATACTTGACAAGATTGTAGAAGCCATAGTCGTGGTCCGTGAGCATCACTAGTGTCCGGACGCAGGGAAGGATGGAGGCGTAGGCGTGGTCGGGGTTCCCCATGTGTTGGAGGAGAGCTGTTATCACAGTATTCAGCTTGTCCGTCTCCGGCAGTGAGTTGCTGATTATCTACAGGGTGAAATACAGACATAGTTCAAGTTTCACAATCAACCATTTGTCCACTTCCCTTGATGATTCTTATCTACAGCACTAGTTTGCATGCTGGTGAACATAAGAAAACCTTCTAAGGGACAAGGTGGGATAAGGATCCTAAATATGTCAGTGACACACCTTGGGTCAGAGACTTGCTCACGTTCAAATAGTAGGCTCTTCTCTTACAAATCTCTAAAATCATCAGTTTTGACACAAGTGAGTGAGTGAGTGAGTGAGTGAGTGAGGGAGGGAGGGAGGGAGGGAGGGAGAAAGCTTAACACCGTATAAACATTATTTCAGTCCTATCACAGTGTGTCCGTCATCTTGACAAGGGAGAAAAGTCTGTAGTGATGCAAGTCTTAGCTGTTACCACTTGGTGAAACCCATGAGCGAGGTATGGGGCTGACAACTCTAGAAATGTAATCAGTACAAACCTGGGACAATTACAGGTCTGGCATGCCCAAGGGACACAACTCCGTACAGGAAATTGTGGCACCTTAGAGGCAAGTTCTGAATCATCTGTGTATATAGATATTTCTTTATCACTGATGACCCATCTAAATCTCAACATAGCTCAAGTGTTTGCAGTGAGGAAGGACAAGCCTGTAACAAGTGAGTGGGCTTATTTAGCTTCTATCACTGTCCCAGCCAGTACAGAGAGGGAGTGAGTGTGTGAGTTTAACAGTTTTAACAGCATTCCATTTCCATCACGGCACGTCAGCTTAATGTGGGAGGAAAGCCCGAAGTGATGCAGGTCTCAGACGTGTACCACTTCGGTGAAACAGTACAGTGAGGGCGGCCAGGGACGGGCTTCACTGTACCATGTGGGGGACAGAACCTTGTGAGCGATGAGTGAATGCTTTAACCACTAGGCTACCCCACCACCCCAAGTCCAGATGACCACTGTGAGAGAAACACAGACCTGTTCGGTGAGAGCTGTGTCCGAGGAGACTAGAGATATTTCTGTGTCACAGAGACTCTGTAGGATTGACTGAAACAAAAAACACACACATTACACTGCAGTAGTGGGACGATACACCGATGCATTGGTGGATCATGATTTCTTACTTCTCGATCACAATCTCACATTAAGTAAAAAGTATCGATTCTTATTTTAACTGTATTCTTTAATAAATGTTACACTAAACACTAATTATTAGTGAAAATGAGTAGTGAAAACGTAAATATTTCCATCCATTGTGCCATACTTGACACTGCCAACTGTAAATCATCAGTGTGCCAGGTATTTGGCCATCCTGTCTATGAAAAGATGGCTTTTTTTTCTTTTCTTTATTTTTTTTTTGGGGGGGGGGGGGGGATTTTTTCATTTTATTCACCCATGGCTTGCTCAGATAACAGCACATGCTAGTATCATCACAGCCCTATTACACAAACACATCTTAGATATTGTTGAGTGACTATGGTTTTATACCATTATTCATGGAATAACACAAGCAGGACAAGAATGGGTTTCACACATTCTACCCATGTGGGAAATCAATATCCAGGTCTTTGGAAAAACAAGCCAATGTTTTAATGACAAGCATGATCAGGCTGCAACATGCGTTTGACGAAGAAATGGGATTTTGAAATTGACTGTACAGTTTGTTATTTGGTAACGGGATGCGAGTGAGTGTTGCATGCCAAGTAGCAATTTTCCAGCTGTGTCATGGCAACCTATCTTCGTCAGTAGGGCTGGGATGGGTAACTCAGGACTCGCGGCAGGTGGGTCCTGAGTAGGACCCGTGTACCCACAGTGCTACCCGGACCCCTGGTAAGTCACGTGATATATAGTGTTCAATGACAAAAACTTGCTATAACTGAGTGGTTACACTACAAGTCGCTAATGTTTGCATTTCTTTCTGACGATGCACACATTCCTTTTTACTTGTATATGTTTGAGTAAAGACGAAGCTGTAGTCAAATTCAGTGTACGCAGGATCTCATCATTTGATACATATGTATCTAATAGTTTTTGCTAGGGCTGAGGTAAAACAATTCCCAATCGGACACTTTGTTCCCAGCTCTTGAGACCTTCAGTGGGTACCCGGGTAGGGTGGGGTAAGAGGGGGTCGGGTACCCAGGTACCCAGGTAGTATATGTGGACTCGTCCCAACCCTACTGGTCAGGCAAACCAGTGGTTATCATGAGCAATGACCTTGGCACAAATAAAGCTAGGTGACACACCATGCAATCAGTCAGCTCTCACACACAGAAGGGTACTGGGGACAGACACTGGGGGCAGACTTACCACCACGTTCTCCTGTGCCTGTATGTGAGGGGGTCTGTCCGAGACCTCGTTCAGCAGATTGAGCATGAAGGGCACGATAGTGGTATACTTCTCATCCTCGGGACAGCTGGAGAAACATGAGAGAGATGTGTTAGAAATGCACATGATGTTATCTGTGTCATTCAGCAGCACGTGAGTGAGTTTAATACCACTTTAAACAGTATTCCAGTTATATCACGGCGTGTCAGCTTGATGTAGGAGGAAAGTCTGAAGTAATGCATGACATAGACGCTTACCACTTTGGTGAAACCCATAATCCAAAACAAGAAACGAACAAGTCGTACCTTCCCCTAATGAGCTGCAACATGGCCATCTTGATGGTGGGCTGGGACAGGAGGTAGCCCAGCAGGCTGAGGGACTTTGTCACCTGTCCGGCCCTGATGAAGGGATATATGTCCTCCTTCACCGCTGGCTCCTTCTCTCCTTCCTTGTCCTCCCCATTCTCTCCCTCCGGAAGAATCCTGCAGTGCTCAATGATGATGTCGAGCAGACACCTACAGCCAAACACAGCATGAGTGAGTGAATAAATATTTAATGCTGTATCAGCACTATCTCAGTCATACAGCGATGGGAAACACAACATGACTACTCCAGCACTGTTAATTATTTCCATGATGTGGTTTTCCTAACTAGGGAGGCAGGGATCATAGCAAGGAGGCAGCGATCATAGCAAGGGAGGCAGGGATCATAGCAAGGGAGGCAGGGATCATAACAAAGAAGGCAGGGATCATAGCAAGGAGGCAGCGATCATAGCAAGGGAGGCAGGGATCATAGCAAGGGAGGCAGGGATCATAGCAAGGGAGGCAGAGATCATAGCAAGGAGGCAGGGATCATAGCAAGGAGGCAGGGATCATAGCAAGGGAGGCAGGCATCATAGCAAGGAGGCAGAGATCGTAACTAGGGAGGTAGGGATCATAGCAAGGGAGGCAGAGATCATAGCAAGGAGGCAGGGATCATACCACGGGAGGCAGAGATCATAGCAAGGGAGGCAGGGATCATAGCAAGGGAGGCAGGGATCATAGCAAGGGAGGCAGGGATCATAGCAAGGAGGCAGGGATCATAGCAAGGGAGGCAGGGATCATAGCCAGGGAGGCAGAGATCATAGCAAGGAGGCAGGGATCATAGCAAGGAGGCAGGGATCATAGCAAGGGAGGCAGGGATCATAGCAAGGAGGCAGAGATCGTAACTAGGGAGGTAGGGATCATAGCAAGGGAGGCAGAGATCATAGCAAGGAGGCAGGGATCATAGAAAGGGAGGCAGAGATCATAGCAAGGGAGGCAGGGATCATAGCAAGGGAGGCAGGGATCATAGCAAGGAGGCAGGGATCATAGCAAGGAGGCAGGGATCATAGCAAGGAGGCAGGGATCATAGCAAGGGAGGCAGGCATCATAGCAAGGGAGGCAGGGATCATAGCAAGGGAGGCAGGGATCATAGCAAGGAGGCAGGGATCATAGCAAGGAGGCAGGGATCATAGCAAGGGAGGCAGGGATCATAGCAAGGGAGGCAGAGATCATAGCAAGGGAGGCAGGGATCATAGCAAGGGAGGCAGGGATCATAGCAAGGGAGGCAGGGATTATAGCAAGGAGGCAGGGATCATAGCAAGGAGGCAGGGATCATAGCAAGGAGGCAGGGATCATAGCAAGGGAGGCAGGCATCATAGCAAGGAGGCAGAGATCGTAACTAGGGAGGTAGGGATCATAGCAAGGGAGGCAGAGATCATAGCAAGGGAGGCAGGGATCATAGCAAGGGAGGCAGGGATCATAGCAAGGGAGGCAGAGATCATAGCAAGGGAGGCAGGGATCATAGCAAGGGAGGCAGGGATCATAGCAAGGGAGGCAGGGATTATAGCAAGGGAGGCAGAGATCATAGCAAGGGAGGCAGAGATCATAGCAAGGGAGGCAGGGATCATAGAAAGGGAGGCAGGGATCATAGCAAGGGAGGCAGGGATCATAGCCAGGGAGGCAGAGATCATAGCAAGGGAGGCAGAGATCGTAACTAGGGAGGTAGGGATCATAGCAAGGGAGGCAGAGATCATAGCAAGGGAGGCAGAGATCATAGCAAGGGAGGCAGGGATTATAGCAAGGGAGGCAGGGATCATAGCAAGGGAGGCAGAGATCGTAACTAGGGAGGTAGGGATCATAGCAAGGGAGGCAGGGATCATAGCAAGGGAGGCAGAGATCATAGCAAGGGAGGCAGGGATTAATAGCAAGGGAGGCAGGGATCATAGCAAGGGAGGCAGGGATCATAGCAAGGGAGGCAGAGATCGTAACTAGGGAGGTAGGGATCATAGCAAGGGAGGCAGGGATCATAGCAAGGGAGGCAGAGATGATAGCAAGGGAGGCAGGGATTATAGCAAGGGAGGCAGAGATCGTAACTAGGGAGGTAGGGATCATAGCAAGGGAGGCAGGGATCATAGCAAGGGAGGCAGAGATCATAGCAAGGGAGGCAGAGATCGTAACTAGGGTGGTAGGGATCATAGCAAGGGAGGCAGGGATCATAGCAAGGGAGGCAGGGATCATAGCAAGGGAGGCAGGGATCATAGCAAGGGAGGCAGGGATCATAGCAAGGGAGGTAGGGATCATAGCAAGGGAGGCAGAGATCATAGCAAGGGAGGCAGGGATCATAGCAAGGGAGGCAGGGATCATAGCAAGGGAGGCAGGGATCATAGCAAGGGAGGCAGAGATCATAGCACGGGAGGCAGAGATCATAGCAAGGGAGGCAGGGATCATAGAAAGGGAGGCAGGGATCATAGCAAGGGAGGCAGGGATCATAGCAAGGGAGGCAGAGATCATAGCAAGGGAGGCAGGGATCATAGCAAGGGAGGCAGAGATCATAGCAAGGGAGGCAGAGATCATAGCAAGGGAGGCAGGGATCATAGAAAGGGAGGCAGGGATCATAGCAAGGGAGGCAGGGATCATAGCAAGGAGGCAGAGATCGTAACTAGGGAGGTAGGGATCATAGCAAGGGAGGCAGAGATCATAGCAAGGAGGCAGGGATCATAGCAAGGGAGGCAGAAATCATAGCAAGGGAGGCAGGGATCATAGCAAGGGAGGCAGAGATCATAGCAAGGGAGGCAATGATCATAGCAAGGAGGCAGGGATCATAGCAAGGGAGGCAGAAATCATAGCAAGGGAGGCAGAGATCATAGCAAGGGAGGCAGGGATCATAGCAAGGAGGCAGGGATCATAGCAAGGGAGGCAGGCATCATAGCAAGGAGGCAGAGATCGTAACTAGGGAGGCAGAGATCATAGCAAGGAGGCAGGGATCATAGCAAGGGAGGCAGGGATCATAGCAAGGGAGGCAGGGATCATAGCAAGGGAGGCAGGGATCATAGCAAGGGAGGCAGGGATCATAGCAAGGGAGGCAGGGATCATAGCAAGGGAGGCAGGGATTATAGCAAGGAGGCAGGGATCATAGCAAGGGAGGCAGGGATCATAGCAAGGGAGGCAGGGATTATAGCAAGGAGGCAGGGATCATAGCAAGGGAGGCAGGGATCATAGCAAGGGAGGCAGGGATCATAGCAAGGGAGGCAGGGATTATAGCAAGGAGGCAGGGATCATAGCAAGGGAGGCAGGGATTATAGCAAGGGAGGCAGGGATCATAGCAAGGGAGGCAGGGATCATAGCAAGGGAGGCAGGCATCATAGCAAGGGAGGTAGGGATCATAGCAAGGGAGGCAGAATTCATAGCAAGGAGGCAGGGATCATAGCAAGGGAGGCAGGGATCATAGCAAGGGAGGCAGCGATCATAGCAAGGGAGGCAGGGATCATAGCAAGGGAGGCAGGGATAATAGCAAGGAGGCAGAGATCCTAAATAGGGTGGCAGAGATCCTAAATAGGGTGGCAGAGATCCTAACTAGGGAGGCAGAGATCCTAACTAGGGAGGCAGATATAGTAACTAGGAAGGCAGAGATCCTAACCAGGTAGGTGGTGATCCTAATTACGGAGGTAGGGATCATGACTAAGGAGGCAGGGATCCTTCATCTGTAGACTCTTGTGTAGTTCTCACCTTGTGATCATGATGGCGGAGGGGGAGGCGAGGTCTGACAGCTGCCAACACACACGACACAACATCTGCTGGAGAGGCTGGCAGCTGGAGCCTGCAATACAAGTCAGTGTTAGGTGCAGAGAAATGGAGGGAAGTAACAAGCCACCAATTCTGATATGTAATACGAATCGGGGCAGGAAAACCTGATGAGAGAGGAGGGACTCACCTGAACAGGCCTTGATGAGGTCACAGATGAGAAGAGAGACTCACCTGAACAGGCCTTGATGAGGTCACTGATGAGAGAGGAGAGACATGCCTGAACAGGCCCTGATGAGGTCACTGATGACAAGACAGACTCACCTGAACAGGCCTGATGAGGTCATTGATGAGAAGACAGACTCACCTGAACAGGCCTTGATGAGGTCAATGTTGAGACAGGAGAGACTCACCTGAACAGGCCCTGATGAGGTCACTGATGAGAAGACAGACTCACCTGAACAGGCCCTGATGAGGTCACTGATGAGAGAGGAGAGACTCACCTGAACAGGCCTGATGAGGTCACTGATGAGAAGACAGACTCACCTGAACAGGCCTTGATGAGGTCATTGATGAGAGAGGAGAGACTTACCTGAACAGGCACTGATGAGGTCATTGATGAGAGAGGAGAGACTTACCTGAACAGGCACTGATGAGGTCACTGATGAGAAGAGAGACTCACCTTAACAGGCCCTGATGAGGTCACTGATGAGAAGAGAGACTCACCTGAACAGGCCTTGATGAGGTCATTGATGAGAGAGGAGAGACTCACCTGAACAGGCCCCAATGAGATCACTGATGAGAGTGAGTGAGTGAGTTTGGTTTTACGCCGCTTTTAGCAATATTCCAGCAATATCACGGCAGGCTCACTGATGAGAAGAGAGACTCACCTGAACAGGCCCTGATGAGGTCACTGATGAGAAGACAGACTCACCTGAACAGGCCTTGATGAGGTCATTGATGAGAGAGGAGAGACTCACCTGAACAGGCCCCGATGAGGTCAGTGATGAGAGAGGAGAGACTCACCTGAACAGGCACTGATGAGGTCACTGATGAGAGAGGAGAGACTCACCTGAACAGGCCCTGATGAGAGAGGAGAGACTCACCTGAACAGGCACTGATGAGGTCACTGATGAGAGAGGAGAGACTCACCTGAACAGGCCCTGATGAGGTCACTGATGAGAAGACAGACTCACCTGAACAGGCCCTGATGAGGTCACTGATGAGAAGACAGACTCACCTGAACAGGCCTGATGAGGTCACTGATGAGAAGACAGACTCACCTGAACAGGCCTTGATGAGGTCATTGATGAGAGAGGAGAGACTCACCTGAACAGGCCCCGATGAGGTCAGTGATGAGAGAGGAGAGACTCACCTGAACAGGCCCCAATGAGGTCACTGATGAGAGAGGAGAGACTCACCTGAACAGGCCCTGATGAGAGAGGAGAGACTCACCTGAACAGGCACTGATGAGGTCACTGATGAGAGAGGAGAGACTCACCTGAACAGGCACTGATGAGGTCATTGATGAGAGAGGAGAGACTCACCTGAGCAGGCCCTGATGAGGTCACTGATGAGAGAGGAGAGACTCACCTGAACAGGCCCTGATGAGGTCACTGATGAGAGGAGAGACACGCCTGAACAGGCCCTGATGAGGTCACTGATGAGAGAGGAGAGACTCACCTGAACAGGCACTGATGAGGTCACTGATGAAAGAGGAGAGACTCACCTGAACAGGCCCTGATGAGGTCACTGATGAGAAAGGAGAGACTCACCTGAACAGGCACTGATGAGGTCCTTGATGAGAGGGGAGAGACTCACCTGAACAGGCCCTGATGAGGTCACTGGTGAAAGAGGAGAGACTCACCTGAACAGGCCCTGATGAGGTCACTGATGAGAGAGGAGAGACTCACCTGAACAGGCCCTGATGAGGTCCTTGATGAGAGAGGAGAGACTCACCTGAACAGGCCCTGATGAGGTCACTGATGAGAGAGGAGAGACTCACCTGAACAGGCCCTGATGAGGTCACTGACGAGAGAGGAGAGGGGATGGAGGTGGGCACTCCACAACTTGCGGGTCATCACGACCTGACTTATTTCCGGGCTATCCAATGGCTGATTGGGAAAATAGGAAAGAGATAATAATAATTTCTTATTTCTTTTTGAAAGGTAGCTAGCTTTGTGGGAGCGGAGCATTAAGTGTAGAACTGAGTTTATTGTATTGTGGCAGACATTTGCATCTGGAAAATCTATGAATTGTGTTTTATGAATTGATTGACTTCAAAGAATATTGAGCCAAAGCAACCCTTAACAGGCAATGCAAAGTCACCTCTTTCGTCTGAAGAGGCAGTGGTAGGGGAAGTAACTCCGACATCATGATGAGTCCACTGAGATAAGTGTAGGGTAATTTCTTGGCATACTTCAACAGGTCTGTCAACATCATTGTCCACAAGCTCTGTGCTAGTCCTACAACACATACAAGGCATCATGGTAAGTGAATGCTACTTGACACTGTCTTCACACAGTGGGTTGAAACGTATTACAGAAAAATTCAGAAAATCATAAACCTAAAAATACCATTTTAAGTGAGTGAGTATGGTTTTACACCACTTTTAGCAATATTCCAGCAATATCGCGGCGGAGGACACCAGAAATGGGCATCACACATTGTACCCATGTCAGGAATCGACCCCGGGCCTTAGGCGTGACACGCGAACGCTTTAACCATTAGGCTACCCCCGCGCCCCCAATACCATGTTGAGGTTTTGTCTCATTTACAGAATAAAACTCCAGGGGTGAACCAACTGATCTAATGCATCATGGTTGTCCATCATAGCATTCTTTACTTTACCTTCTCTAAAGCCCTAACTACCTCCCAGTGATCTATCAATTGTTCAGCTTGTTTGTCTTCTTGAATGATTCAAGGATGTCCAATAAATATTGTCTATAATGAAGGACTGTTTTGTTATCATTAAACTATCTTAATACTATTGCATTGATAGTCACAGCTAGTGTTAGCTTTCAAGGTGTTTCTGTATTTTATGAGTGGAATAATTCAGACCACAGCCTCCACTGAAATAATGTCGAGAGTTCTTCAGCTGCGCACATTAGTGAGTGAGTGAGTGAGGTTTTACTTCGCTTTTAGCAATATTCCAGCAATATCATGGCGGGGGACACCAGAAATGGGCTTCACACATTGTACCCATGTCGGTTATCGAACCCGGGTCTTCGGCGTGACGAGCGAAGGCTTTAACCACTAGGCTACCCGACCGCCCCGCTGCGCACATTAAAACGGCTGTTTGGCAGTACAGCTCGCAGGGCCCGATCTACAGGGCAATCTTAGCACTACGACTGCTGCAAGTCTATGTGTAGTAGAGGAGTTCCATAATAAGTCTTGCAACAGACAAGCAAGACCAACCTTCTTCTGTGGCAGCGTCCTGGTTGAGAGCTGGCTGGGTGTAGGCTAGGATCGCATCCACAATGTCCTTCTGGATCTGCAAATTAGATACACATTCTGATTCTCACAGTGAACAATCCACCATTAACTTCAACTCCAAAATACAACAAAACTCAAATTGTATCATCCAGTTGAAATATTGTTGACCCTTATGTTGACAACATTCAACCATGGAGGATCCATGAAAGTGATTTCTCAATCAGAGGTATCAAATCACAATAACATACCTCTGATTCAATGCCATGGTATGATCATAAAATACAAAGAGGCACTTTGATACAACTTTTGATTTTGCTTCTTCCCATTATCTGAATTGCATTAGAGGAAAGTATTATATTCTGTACTTTTAATGAGACAGAAAGAAAGCAGCCGTACCTCAAACATGATACAAAATATGAAAAAAAATAGTCTGTGTACTGAAGCACATGTTCCTTTCAATACATAGGTAAACATTTCCAAATATGGGACGCTGGCAAGCAGAGATTACACATGCTCATGAACTGTCAATCATGCATGTCAAGAGACATGTTCATTTCATATGCTAGCTAGCCAAAGTGAGTTGGGTTTACACCGCTTTGAACAGTATTTCAGTTATATCACAGCATGTCAGCTCCATATGGGTGCAACACCTGACGTGGTGCAGATCTTAGATGTGAAACCTAGCACAGGTTTGGTGCCGACAAACCTAGAAACATGGTCAGGGCGAACTGGGATTCGAAACACATGATCATAAGTTTCTGTTATGCCTTAGGGAGCAAACAAAATATTTTTATTATTTCTTATTCAAAAGGTGTATGGATCACTTTAAAAAATATTCAAAACAGAATAGGTTCAACTCCTATGGGTTTATACTCCACAAGGACGGGAATGTTCCATGACTTCTCTCTGATTTCTCCAGGGTTTGTACACCTGTTTCCCATCACCGAAGATTTATTAGCAGATCTCCATACCACGTCATAATTACAAAACTAGTTCCTGCTTTAAAAACTGCAATCTCCCACTATTGTGATAACATAGTCATCATCATACTAAATGTTCCACATGTTTCACGGTCCAGCCAGGCTACATACCCTGATGGCTGTTGCCATAGTATTTGGAGTTGAAAACAATTAGAAAATTCACCAACAAAAACCATCCTCAAGTTTTGAGACATACCCTCGCCCACCCCATAAGAGAACACTCATTAGTTAGAGTACTCACTGTATATGGTTTGTGAGTGAGTGAGTGAGTTAGGTTTAACGCCACTTTTAAATGGAAAACTTGCAGGCCTTGCATTTAGTTCTTGCCCCCCCATAAAAGATTTTTATCGGACATGAAGCTTGAGAACTGCTCCCTAAGCAGCGTGGATAGGCCCTGCCCCTTTATGGTCTGAAGGACTGGAATATCATTATGATGTAGTTAACCTTTAGTGTTTAGAGTAAATAGAAACTCGTGATTGTACCTTTGCAATCTCTTGACTGTGCATAACACTGATGGGTACTGAACACAACACTGTATGGAGCTCAAACAGGGATGGGAGGGCTGTCAAGTCCTTGAACTGCAAACACAAAAACACATCACATATTATGGCCGACAAGACGTATTGAAGAACAGGGAGACATAAGATGAAGGATTGTCCAGGAACTGGATTGAGTGAACAAATGACAAAGATAACATCAGTTTGACAATGATTGATGAATGAAGAGATGAGGCATTAGATGGGAATAAAAACACTTGTCAAGGGGGTGGGGGGTGTTGATGGGGACTGAGTGAGGATTTTTATGTCACAATTAGCAATATTCCAGCAACATCATGGCGGGGGAAACCAGAAATGAGCTTCACACATTGTACCCATGTCGGGAAACAAACCGGGTTCTTTGGCATGATGAGCAAGCTCTTTAACCACTAGGCCACCCAACCGCCCCAGGGGGCCACCAGAAATTGGCATCACACATTGTTCACATATGTCAAATCAAACCAGGCCTTCGGTGCAAACACCTAGCCCACCAAACTACCCACATGGGGACAGCTAGGAAGCAGCCATGACCCACCTCTGCTCCCCTGCCCTCTATAACGAAGGCGATGGTCCTCTTCACAATAGACAGTGACGGCTGGATGATGGCCAAGTACCGAGACATCTGATCATTGCTCAGTTGGATGCCTTTCTGCCAGCGGCGCAGCAGGCTCTCACTGAGCTTCTGTGTGTAAAGGCAGGGTATGAGTGAAAAATACAGCAAGCTGGTCTGTTGACGCCGATAATCTTTGTGATAAAATGAAAACACTGTATTGGCTGTATTATGCCATAATCCCTACCCTTAACCAACTTCAAGACCAATCTGTAAGTAATATTTCCAAGCATCCCTTACTAAGACCGAAAAGTTACATGACAATCCATATTTTCTTATAAAAAAAGGTCTTAGTTTCATAAACGTTTGAACAAAGTTTGTTGACTACAACTCTTGTCTCTGAAAACAAATTTAATTATTTGTGTATGGTTTTAATCATGTTAATAAAATCTCCACTTTGTCAATATTCTAAGGTGCTTATTATGGCAAATACGGTAATGGGATTCTTAATTTCGTTATTTATCATGTTTCAGGGATGTGAGCAGGTTTTCCTGAAAAAGAGGTTTTCGATCATATTTTTAGGAGTGTTTTTTTTAAAAATCTTTGATTATATCTTTACGCGGAAGATGATTTTTCCCGAGGACTACTGTTTTAAAAAACGCGATTTTCCGCGTTTCCGCGGAGATTTCACATCCCTGATGTTTATCAATGTTCCTTATTTGTTTGTATAAAGTCCTTAAAATACTGCCAAAAGGTCATATTTCTAATTTTCACAGATAAAAATAAACACAAGAAAGGGATTTTGGAGTTGGCCAATAGAGTTGACTGTTGAATTACAACATGCCCTTGAATGGATGACTGGATTAGTTCCTGAAGGTAAACATAGCATCCTCCCGATGGCCCAGTGCGACGTACCTGTAGAAAGTTGAGGAAGATGGGAAAGCACTCCTCGCTATACAGCTCCACGAGGGCGTACATGTACTTCATCTCACTCTGAGAATCTGCCACAACAATAATCAGTGAGTGAGTTGAGAAAGAAAATATGCCTTGGCATCATCTGTTGTCATTTATATCATTGTATAGCTTTTGCCCTCGTGGTCACAAGGCAAATTGTCCCTAATCTGTTGTACTGGAAATAAATCTCTCTAACTTGTGAACGTGTAATGATGGACTTGTCTTGTTGTGCACAGGCCCGTTCAGCACAGTAAATCTGGTACACCCACTGTGGACACATTTAACTCATAATCTGTTTTCTGTTAGATGAAATGCAGCAGGATCCTATTCGGAGTGAAACTCAGCCACAATCATAGGATTCTGGCACAACTAAGGGAAGCAACTCTGAGTGAGTGAAAGGTCAGCATTTCAGCCATGTAACAGCATGCCAGGCCATGGTCATGGTCAACTAAAAACCTGAAGTGATGCAACTCATTGAGGTTTAGGGAAACCGATGAGCACAGATACTTTGCTAGCAGATCAAAGATCATAAAATTGGGGCCATTCTGGGTTTCCAATCGGTTCCAAGGATCCCCATATGAAACTCTCTACAGTGAGATGCTGTGCTTTATGCAACTGTAATTTATTTAAGTTTAACTAATACACAAATCTGAAAGCATAGCAAGGTAGCCAGTCCACTGAAGCATTATGGAATACAGTTGTCGGGGAGTATGCCCAGGAGACTATTTCAAATATGAACTAAAAAATAACTTTTTAAAAAAACATTCCTTATAAATCTCATTACAATCTCAACAGAGTGATTTGAGTTTTATGCCGTTTGGACAATATTTCAGTTATATCATGGCATGTCAGTTTAATGTGGGAGGAAAGCCTGAAGTGATGCATGTTAGACATTTACCACTTTCGGGAAACCCACGAGCAGTTATGGTTCTAATAAACCAACATTCATAGTCAGGGTGAACTGAAACTCGAGCCCCTAGTCATAGGCTTCAGGCATGCCGATGGCTAGAGATCAGTGATGAGCGGCGACTATGACAACTCGGCCACATTTCTCAACAGACTTAAGTACAGGCAAACCTTGTGTGTACAGCTTCTCTGGAGGGACAGCCAAGTAATGGAGGATACGGACAGTGGTGACGAGGCCAGGGGGGAGCTTGTGTACATCCTCAGAATACATCTTCAGCTGACCTATCAGATCAGACATCTTGTCACGGGACACACAAGTCACTTTCTTCAAGGGCGCGACCCACTCTTCAAGCTCAGTCAGTCGACTGTTGAAATCTGCACCATACAAGATGGATGGTTCAAAGGAGTGAAGACAAATATTGGCAGCTGATTGGATCAGAAGTACATGCAGAGCATTTCTACCAATCAGAAACTCTCTAATTTAGACGCTTGTCACTAGGTCTAATGATGATATACATGTGTGAGTGAGTTTTAACAATAGTTCTTCTGCCAAGCACAGGTATGGTGCTGACAAACCTGTGCCCATGGATGTGTATAGTTATAGAGGTTATCACGCGAGTGTGTTTGGGGATGGTAAATATCCTGCATTAGGAATAAACATTGAATTAAGCGACTATTTTAATTTGTGGAGAAGGTTTCAAGCTGCAGAGGTCTACAAGCACAGATATGGCTACTGATCCTGCTTGGCTAGGCCTCGTGCCCTAGCAAAATTGTTTTGAAATTTATATCTCCAAAGTTGCCAAAACTTATAAAATGCCTTAGCTATGTCAACAAAGTTGGACACTGATTTTCAGTACATTAAACTGTTCTTTTGATAATGATAGCAATTATCCCTCTAGTTTATCCAGATTCCGGATGGTTAATTCTGACTCAATATTTTTTAAATTCAGCATTTTGAGGACATGAGTTTATTTACCCCAAGCAGTCCTTGAGCTACAGCCCTACCTTGCTCGCTGACAGCCAGGATCCGAGCGGCAAACTTCTCCAGCATGACCACGTTGTTGGACAGCTTGATGACCAGGCACAGCAGGTGGGTCGTGTAGCCAGCACACACCGACTTCTTCAGGCGGCGGTTTCCATCTTCATCACCTGGAAGGGCACAAATCATAAATCTACAAACTGACCCATTCCTTGAGTGAGTGAGTGAGTGAGTGAGTGAGTGTGAGTGAGTGAGTGAGTACCCTCTGTGCTGAACACAGTCAAGACAACATCTTAATGAAGAGACAGGGGAAGGAGCTGGCTGATGGAGGGAGAACTGGGTTAACTGTTAGGTCTACCAGAGACAACTTGACTGTATATTTACATAATACACAGCCTCAGCACAATTTAATAGTCTCGGGCAAGCAGGCAAGCATGACTTCAAAGGTTTATATAGTACCAGCATTATCTCACCTGACTGTTCGACGAATGGCAGGAGGACGCTGAGGTTGTTGTCCTGACTGAGGACATGTACTACTGCATCGCGACCCATCGTACTGAACATAGCTATGGCATCACGTGACACAGAGGTGAAGGTCATTGAGAACAGGTTCTGGAGAATACCCAGTGGCTCGGGATCATCCAGAGGTCGAGCTTTGCCATCTGAAACCAAGACAACACAATGTACAATACTTGATTACTTGACACTCTCGTCTGGTCCCTACAGGGTCATTCTTTATTCACCATTAATTCCTGATAACAAGAAGAGTTTAGACAAGGGAGATAGTTCTATGGATATACAACTTCTTTACTACAATGAATGTGACGTTGCTTGATAACGGTATCTACACCAAAATGTCGCATTCATTCAATAAAAGAATTTCCTTGTTCATGACACCAACTTCTAAATGCCATTTAAAAAAAACCAGTTTAACTGGATAGCTAGATACATTTTCAAGGTCCTCTGAGTCACCAAATGTAGACAATATGTTTCTTTTACTTGACAAGATAGTTAAATCCAACAAGTCTGCGATCAGTTGCTACTCATATGACATAATGAAGTGCAGTGTAGGAATGGTGAAAAGGTTACATTCATCGCATAGCAGTAAAGCTCTGGATACGTAGATACGTTTTCACAGTCCCTTGTCCAAATAGTTACTTCACATGAGTTGACTGTAAAACACTAATTTCAGCATGAAAGGATCTAGAGATAATGTTGTTTAATGCCGAGTCAGCAATAGTAAATATGTGAGTTTGGACGAGACAAACCAGTGGTTGATATGAGTAATGTCCCATGCTATTGGATTAAGATGACACCCAATGAAGCAAGTCACTCATCTGCCCACCGGATCCAGTTAACCAGTGTTACTGGGACTCTGGGGCTCTACTTACGCTTGTTGTGGTACTCCAGGAGATGGTCGACATACTGGAGGGTCTGCAGGTGATACACCAGCTCCAGCCCCAGCTGCCTGGCCGGCATGTCATCCACCCCCTCCTCCGGGCTGTCCTCCTGGCAACATCATCGTCAGTATCAGCAAACATCATCGTCAGTATTAGCAACATCATCGTCGGTATTAGCAACATCATCGTCGGTATTAGCAACATCATCGTCGGTATTACGAACATCATTGTCAGTATTATCAACATCATCCTCAGTATTGGCACCATTGTCAGTATTTGCAACACCTTCAATATCATCGACATCATCGTTAGTATTTGCAACAGCATCAACAGTATTATCAACATCATCGTCAGTATTACCAACATCAATCGTCAGTATTATCAACATCATCGTCAGTATTGGCACCATCGTCAGTATTTGCAACATCATCTGTACTATCAACACCATCATCTGTATTAACAACATCAACATCAGTATTAGCAACATCATCGTCAGTATTAGCAACATCATCAACATGCTTCCAGCAAACTCACGGTCATCTGTATGAGGGACCTGATGATGCCGTTGGTTGTGTCGGGCTTCCAGCTGAGAAACAGCAGCCCCTGCTGAGTCTTGATCAGATGCAGCAGCAGTTTCTGTACCGCAGTGAAGATGCTGGGCTGACTCGATGTTGTTGGCGTAGATGTCAACACGAAAATACTCTCCAGCAGGCGACTGAAACACACATACTTGACTACATCCCACATTAAGGCCACACCAAACTGATTATTTGTGTTTTGACATTTTATACCCTGGGATTCGAAATAGGAATTGCCATTTTGTTAAGGATAACCTTTGCTGCTTTTTAGGACTTGATACTTTCTAGGCAGTTTGACAGGATAACAAAGTGCATATTCCTGATTTCATGGTTGTTTTTCTTTTGAGCCTTAGGAACAATTTATGCAGCCACAGTCGTTCATTTCAGTCATAATTAGGAAGATAATCTTTAAACAATCAGTGCATGATCACAAAATCCCCATCAAGAAGGGAAATGGAAAATTATTTGTTGATGGCCTTACCTAATGATTCTGATGCTACACGGTGATGCAGCACAGTACTACTAGATTACACAGAAATCATGATCATCTCCCTGGGGCATGTACAACTTGTAGCCAGTCGGCATGGTGATGTAGTTCAAATTACTGTTCTACCGGGTACCCATTTACTGCTAGAGTAAGAGGAACATTCTTCCAAAGATACGCAAGTTGTTACACCACATTCTGTGTATGAGTGAACATGGCATAGGAGCCACAATGACAACTCACCACTCGTAAGCTGTATGGAAGAGGCTGGGTAGGGGGTCCATGGGTGGAGGGTCTCCTGATGAGAACACATGAGACCCTGGAAGTCCACGACGTGGCTGAGCCTGGAACAAAATTCATTGTTTGGCTGAATGACCCTGTAGGGCTCTCCCCATCTCTTGCCCAATATCTATTCTTGACCCACTCCTGATGTTGCCCCTCCCCTTCTTTTTCAACTCGCCTCTACTCTCACCCCTAACCGACACTTGTCTTCTCCCCATAGTAGTCCTTCCCCCCTAGTTTGGCCCCTCCCCTTCTTTTTCCACTCACCTCTACTCTCACCCCTAACCGACACTTGTCTTCTCCTATAGTAGTCCTTCCCCCCTAGTTTGGCCCCTCCCCTTCTTTTTCAACTCGCCTCTACTCTCACCCCTAACCGACACTTGTCTTCTCCCCATAGTAGTCCTTCCCCCCTAGTTTGGCCCCTCCCCTTCTTTTTCCACTCACCTCTACTCTCACCCCTAACCGACACTTGTCTTCTCCTATAGTAGTCCTTCCCCCCTAGTTTGGCCCCTCCCCTTCTTTTTCGCCTCGCCTCTACTCTCACCCCTAACCGACACTTGTCTTCTCCCCATAGTAGTCCTTCCCCCCTAGTTTGGCCCCTCCCCTTCTTTTTCCACTTGCCTCTACTCTCACCCCTAACCTACACTTGTCCTCTCCCTAACTGTTGCCTTTCTCCCTGCTGTTGCCCCTCTCCCTGCTGTTGCCCTCTCCCTGCTGTTGCCCCTCTCCCTGCTGTTGCCCCTCTCCCTGCTGTTGCCACTCTCCCTACTGTTGCCACTCTCCCTACTGTTGCCCCTCTCCCTGCTGTTGCCCTCTCCTTGTTGTTACCCCTCTCCCTGCTGTTGCCCCTCTCCCTAACTGTTGCCCCTCTCCCTGCTGTTGCCCCTCTCCCTAACTGTTGCCCCTCTCCCTGCTGTTGCCCCTCTACCCTGCTGTTGCCCCTCTCCCTAACTGTTGCCCTCTCCCTGCTGTTGCCCCACTCCCTAACTGTTGCCCCTCTCCCTACTGTTGCCCCTCTCCCAAACTGTTGCCCCTCTCCCTGCTGTTGCCCCTCTCCCTGCTGTTGCCCCTCTCCCTGCTGTTGTTCCTCTCCATACTGTTGCCCCTCTCCCTGCAGTTGCCCCTCTCCCTACTGTTATCCCCTTCCCCTGCTGTTGCCCCTCCCTCTGCTGTTGTCCCCTCACCCTGCTCTTGTCCCCTCCCTTGCCCCTGCAATACTCACAATCATTTCAGCTGCATGCATGAAGACCTTGGTCACTTCCTCCAAGGCGGCCACCAACTTGTCCACATCCTCTTCCTCCATGCAGGGGGGTGATGCCGGCTCCCCCTCCCCCTCCGCCCCTTTCATCTCATCATCTTCCAGAGGGGGGAGTGTGTCCAGTACACTGATAACACATGACAGCAACATACATATACCCCTCCCCTTTCACTGGGATTTATCACGGATTTCAAACTAAGTGCCCCTGGTGAAAACAATCATTATTTTGTTCAAAACTTGAATTTTCTTAATGTTTTTATGTACATAAATTCAGGGGAATTGAGAAAATTCAAATTCAAATTGACAATTTGTACTGACATTTGCTGCCACATGTCGGCAGGTCAAGATAGATCCTTGTATCATTTCAAACCCTCCCTGAAACAAAGTACCCCACTGCCCCTTAAATGTGTGACACCTGTCTTGGAAAGGTTCCTGGTACTCACTGGTCTATAGTGTGGGTCAGAGTCTGGAACAAGTCGAAGGTGTGGATTTTCCGACTCAGAGCAGTCAATGCAACGCTTGTTCTCGCCAACTGAAATAATTAAAGAGAAACATTACATGACCTGTACACAATTTCATTAAAGTTCTTGCTGTTACTGGTGCTCACTCATCAACCCATAGTGTCAAGCCAAGGCTAGCTAGCTGCATCTTCCCGAGGCAAGGGAGTTAACTGACTTCAAAAGTCCAGTTTCACCCTTGCCGAACTAGGCTGGAATTCCTGGGCTCGACCGTAGCGCAACCAGTGGTTATTATGAGTTATGCCCCTTCTAAGCCTCTTCTATAGACTAATCAGATTCCACCTCTCGTATTACTTGCATTTGTTTCAAACAAAATGGTGGCGCCCAGTCAAGACAATCTGATCGATAGTCAAGGTCTTGTATAGCGCGAAGTGCATCAAATCATGTGAGCACCTTGATTAAAAACATGAAAAGACTTGGAAAATGCCTGTTGACGGTGCACATGCTTTGCAAATCCTGCAATCGACCGAGACCTGAACGACATTTTATCAACCGGATTTCATAACTCCATAATACCAGCCTAGTTCGACAAGGGTGGAAACTTTTACAAACCTGTAGAGGTTATGAATTCTCTGATGAAATCCTCCTTGGGGCACTTATTGCATTTTCCTTGCTCAAGAAAATCTATATGACATAGTTGTAACCATTTTCCTTAATAAAAAATGTTACCACACAAAAAACTTCGTTTTTGTATGATATACGACCACCCTTACGGGGCCTCACCCCCAACGGCGCCTCACGCCAGGGGGAGCAACTCTCACCCAAATCACTTTCCATATGTCAAATGCTGACGGAATGTGGGGAGGTGGGTGGCCGTGCCCCAAGGAGGATTTCATCAGAGAATTCATAACCTCTACAGGTTTGTAAAATTCTCTTTCTGATTAAATCCTCCTTGGGGCACTTATTGCATCAAGACAGACTCCCAAAGATAATCTAGGAAGTGGCATCCGTCAGCAACAGGCGTAAATAAATACATTGTATTTGATTATTCAACAGAATAAAATATTAAGTTCAATAAATGGAACCAACCTTATCGTGAGGCACCACCGTCGAAAGGCGGGGGCTAGAGACAGGGCGTGGTCGACCATATATTATGATAAAGCCTGTTTTTGCGGCTTGTCATAAGTTGAGAACTCGAAACACCTCCCACCCCCCCACACTTTTTTGAACAAGTGATATAAGGGCGTAGATCACGAGAGACCATAACCAGCGCTGAGCTAGGCCAGAGGGTCCCCGAGGATCGAAGGAGTGCGTGCGCAAAATACGAGTATTATCGAGTAGTAAGGACTGATATTTATCGACCGCAGAAGATAAAATCCGGACCATTACTGAGCAGTATAACCGGAAGACTGTCTAAAATCTCGAATGCTCAATCAGCTAGAGATTAGAACTTTGCCCAGTTCGGAGAACTGACTGACCAAACCGAGTACGCTCGCTTGAGTGTTTGTCGAGTTGGTAAGGTTTGATGAATCGTGCTCGGCTGGCTCCAAATAGCCGCAGAGCAGATCTGCTCAAGGGGCAGAGCCGCGGCGTACGCTTTTGACGCAGCCACTGCTCTAACCTTATGAGCCTTCAACCTGGTAGGGGGGTCCCTCCCTGTAAGCGTATACGCTGTACAAATGGTTGAAACTATCCACCTCGAGATAGATTGTTTACTCGCAGGGGAGCCAACCTTCCTACCGCAGTAACAGCAAAATAGTTGGTTATCCTTACGGACACCCATATTTCTGCTGATATAGGCCTTGAGAGTCGTGCGGACATCCAAGACATGAGCATGTCTTGCAGTGGTCCCCGACGAGGAAGGCTGTGAAAGAGCAGGTAGCTCAATAGGAGCCGTTCACGTGGAATCGTGTGCGACCCTAGGACGGTAATAGTCCGGTAGACGAAAACTGACTGTCCCGGTGATATTTATCGACCCCATGAAAGACAGTTATTTTGGGATCGGCTGACATAACACGAATGTCGCCTTCCCGTCTGCCGGACGTTACCACCACAAGGAACGCCGTCTCCCAGCTCAACAGCTGAAGAGAGAGAGACGACAGATCCCGAAAGGAAGGACCGGACAGCCAATCGAGAATGATTGACAAGTCCCAAGGGGGACTGATCCGCTGGACTGGCGGTCGGATCCTGTCCACACCTGCTAAAAAGCGCTGCACTAATGGGTGTGCACCCAGAAGTGCCCCGTCGACAGGGACGTGAAAAGCTGCGATAGCTGTAGAGTACCCTCGGACTGTTGATGCGGCCAGGCCGTCATCTAGTCGCGACTGGAGAAACTCAAGCACGGATACGAGATCTGCAGAAAAAAGATCTGCAATCCCTCTATCGACACACCAGGGCGCATAGCAGGCCTATCTATCGTACTGAACGTTTGTCGAATCCCTCCGCGAAGCCAGTATTGTGTCTGCAACTCGTGCAGGAATACCGCTCTTCTGGAGGCGATTCCTGACAGTGGCCAAGCCACCAATTGAATCCTGAGATTCGGGTGGAGGGCCCCGTTCTGGGATAGGAGGTCCGGTCGTAAAGGTAATATAACAGGAGGCTGAGCCAGAAACCTGAGTATTACTGGAAACCCACTCTGCGCCGACTAAAGAGGTGCCAGGAGCACAATTAGTCGCGCAGGCTGAGTGCCTAGCTGAGACAGGACCTTGGAAATCAGAGGTACTGGGGAGAATGCCCACAGAACTGTCCGTCCAATCTAGCTGAAAGGCGTCCGGTGCCACCGACCTCGGGTCGTGGACTCGGGAGCAGAACGTTGGTGTCTGGTTATTTAACCCAGACGCAAACAGATCCACCTGTAACGACCTGTATAACAGGGAGAAAATCCCGAATATCCCCGGGTCGAGCCTCCACTCGTGAGGAGCGAGGATCCGGCAAGACAGAGCGTCCGCACGGACGTTGTCCACCCCCGGGAGATAAACAGGTAGCACCCTGATATCGTGAGAGTCGCACTATAGTAGGAACTGCCACGTCTTTCGTCGAAGCGACGGAGACGCCGTTCCCCCCTGCTTCCGGATGTAAGTCATCGCCGTTTGGTTGTCCATCTCTAGACGAACCACTTGGCCACGAAGCAGATCCGGGAAGCGTTGGAACACCAACCAGACCGCTCTCAGTTCTAGCACATTGATATGCAGTTTGATCTCCTGCTGGGACCATAGTCCCGAGGCAGTGTGATCATTCAGAACGCCTCCCCAGCCGGAGAGTGACGCGTCTGTTTGAACTGTGAGAGACGGAACGGGAGTGATTCCCCACCTCGGTCCACCACTGGAGGTGTGTAATGAGCCACTACGGAGTCTCGAGCACAGTCTCGAGATCTTCCGAGTTCGCCCGAAGTCGACGGAGTGCTTGTTGAATGGGACTCATTCTCAAGCGCGCCCGCCAGACCAAATCCACTGTCGCCGCCATGTTGTCCAGTAACTGGAGCCATGTACGAGCAGTGTGACTTGCGCTTAAGGGACTTGATATCTTGTGACAGAGATACACGTCCTCTCACCGTGTTGAAATTAGCCACTAGGAAGACTAGATTCTGAGTGGGGCTCAGATCTGACTTCTTGAGATTGACCATCCACCCTTGAGTGATCAGAATATCTATCACTTGTTGTGTAGCTATCTGACTCAGGGATTGCAATAGAGCTCTTAGTAACCAGTCGTCGAGGTACGGATGGCAGAACCGACCTTTTGACCTGGCCACTTGGGCGGGAATCAACATCAGCTTGGTTAACACCCTCGGGGCCGTGGAGATCCCGAATGGTAGAACCCTGAACTGATAACACCTCCCGTCGAAAGAAAACCTCAGGTATTTCTTGAACTCGGGGTGTATTGGTATGTGGAGATAGGCGTATTTTAAGTCTATTGACGTTAGCCATTCTCCTGTCTCGACAGTTGAGATCACTGTTTGGTGACTAGGAAACAAGTCGAGTAGAAGCCCTCGCTTTCCTGTCCCTCGGGACCCGGTTCGATCGCAGCTTTCATAAGAAGTGCGTCGACCTCGGCACGGAGGAATTCCGCCTTCTCTCGGGTAGCAGGCACCGGAGTGTGCTTTATCCCGGAAAAGTGGAGGAGCGGATGAGTTTTCCCGATAACTTGCGACTGTGGGTTCACCCGGGGCTCTTCGGGCGCTAATGGGAACCCATCGTTCCCAGCCCCGCGAAAAAGCTGTTGGCCTCGACCAGCTGCCTTGCCCCGGCCCGTGCCTCTCTTGCTCCTCCCGGCGCCCTTATACCTGAAGGAAGCGGCGGCTTCCAAGCAGGTGTGGACGTCTGACCCGTGCGTTAGCGTAGGAGGGGACAATTGGAGAGGCCCGCTTACGCGGTTTTAACGCTTGGTACCTCCAACAAGGCCTTATGAGTCTTTGATGGAAGTATACAATTGAGCAGCCTCTCGGACCACCTGATGAGCCCCAGAGAAGAGGGTGGCACCCTCTTATACGGCAAAGCAAGTAGGTCTTGGCGTGTGTAAGTCGAGTATTTAGATACCGACATCCACCGCCTGCGCATGCACATAACAGCGCACATCATCTGCGAGGCACAGCTACGAATAGCGTCCCGCGCAAGATAACTGAACTTCCGTTAGTTGCGCGGCCAACTCCGAAGAGTCGGCCGGCCCCTCTCCCGCTAACTCCCTCTGTACAGCCGACAGATACGCGGAGTGTACGGACACACGGAGCTGTTGGCATGCATTATGATATTGCTCCTCGAAGCATATGTAAGCAGCCTTCAACTCCGCACCGCACACGGGAAAGGGGGGGCAACCGCCGGCCCTGCTTGACCTTAGTCAAGTTGGGTGTCTCCGACTCTGGCATGGGCGCAGCCACCTGAGGCAGTACCTGGACAATCCTGTCCCGCACGTGTCTCTGCACCCGGCCCGAGGCCGAGTCCCGGTGCCGAGGTGCCGGAGGTTCAAGGGAACCCACCTGGCACTGGGCTAGGTATCCACTAGTGAAAGCCTTGGCCTCGGAAGAGGCGTCTGGCTCCGCTAGGGAAAATTGTGCGTCGGTAGTGCACGGGCCGGTGCCCGCCACCACTACGCTGGGGAGCGACCTCGAGCCGGAGCCGAAGCTCGGTCTCGGATCGTCCACGAGACAAAGGGAACCAACCTGGCTCCGGGCTAGGTATCCACTAGTGGACACCTCGGCCTCGGAAGAGGCGTCTGGCTCCGCTAGGGAAAATTGTGCGTCGGTAGTGCACGGGCCGGTGCCCGCCACCACTACGCTGGGGAGCGACCTCGAGCCGGAGCCGAAGCCCGGTCTGAGATCGTCCCCGAGACCAAGTGGCCTGCCTCGGCCGACGCCGGGCATATCACAAGGTCTCGAAGCCGCGTCCGGCGCCGACAACGGGGAAGGCTCGGTCCGCATCTCCTCTCGGAGCTGAGACTTTACCTCCTCCATCATCGACGCCATCTGCGACTTAAGTAACGCAGAAAAGTCTGCCAAAGACAGTGCAGGAGAGGGTGCAGTGCTTACTACGGGGACCCTCGAGCCTTCTCCCCCGGCCCCCGGAGAGGGAGCGGGGGAGACAATCTCGGCAGCTTTTTTACCCTTTTTAGATGGGGAGGGGGGGGGGGGGGGGGAATGTCTTAGTAGATCTGATATCTACCCCCGCCTTTAATAGACCTCTTTAAAGTGGAACAAGTCAACTTGTTCTTTTTGGGGGCCCCGGGGGGTAAAGGCAATGTCCTCCGCCAGACATATTAGGCAGCGTTCGTGCCTGTCTTAGAACAACCCGTACACAGTTTGAAGGTCTTGTAAACAAGACCGTAATTTCTGAGGTGGGCGGGAAGGGCATCAACGTGTATCAGTGCGATATAAAGATCGGAAAGATACGTGCATAAATTGTGAAAATAGAAGCAAAGGCGTAATGTAGAATGCGATTTGTAACGCGATACTAATAGCCAATGTCGTAGTATAATTATAACACCAAAGGGGCGTGTTACGCGCTAAGGTGTAAAACCCGTAAAATAGGTAAGTGTAGTTTATGAATTAACACACCACCTTGGGTTTTGTAAAGGAAAAAATTGTAGACCAATGCTGTATGATATAACAAAACCCGGAGCCGTTTCTTAATGGCCTTGGTGTTACATGTATCAACCCGTGGAACTACAATATGGACGCCATTACGGCCATTTGAATTCAAAGGTACCGTGCACGTGGCGTATTATTACAACTCTATAACTTCACAATGCGAGGTATTACGCCTTTGCAATGAAAGAAATGTACCATACATACAGTTTGGTCAGCCATGGTTCTTGTCGAACGATAGATTTCTCTTATTTTTGTCTTGTGTGAAAAATCAACACGTCTGTCTCTTACAGATGACATAAGGAAAGTGATTTGGGTGAGAGTTGCTCCCCCTGACGTGAGGCGCCGTTGGGGATGAGGCCCCGTAAGGGTGGTCGTATATCATACAAAAACGAAGTTTTTTGTGTGGTAACATTTTTTATTAAGGAAAATGGTTACAACTATGTCATATAGATTTTCTTGAGCAAGGAAAATGCAATAAGTGCCCCAAGGAGGATTTAATCAGAAAGAGAATGGACTTTTATAGTCAGTTAACTCACTTGCCTCGGGAAGATGGCTAGCTGTTCAGTGAACACTTCTTGACACAATTTAATTAAAACTCTGCTTTCTCTCTCTTGGTTCTTTGATCATACGTATTCACGAGCAATGGAGTAACATAGTGTGTACAAATCCTACACTGACAATGGTGCCCAACACACGCTTCACAATAAAGTACCCACTCTTCTATTGTACCAAACGAAAACAGATTCCAAGGCCACCTAAATGCTGGACTACCTGTTTAGTGAGCATGATGTCCATCAGCCTCCTGTAGCAGCACACAGCCTCCGTGCCATCCTCCTTCTTGGCCGTCTGCTGGGGGTGTTTGCCCAGGAACCACAGCAGACCACTGGAGAAGCACAGGGTCTTGTCGAGAGCGGCTACAATCTGCTGCTTCACGCTGAACGCCATGTACGGGGACAGGAACAGGTCGAGCAGCTTGTGCTGGACATCCCGCTTCTGTGGACATATTGTTGATCAAGTCAGTAAGTGGTGAAGTCAGGTGAAATTGGGTTTAAGGTCACTAATATAGCGGCATGCGTGCGTGGCTGTAGTACTAGTCTAGCCCTCTGAGATACCATGCCACAGTTTAACATGAATACCCCACTCAGACACAGTATACTGACTCTGAGCCGACCATCCAGTCCTTGCTTTAGCCCCTTAATGCCGAGCACCAGGCAGGGTAACAACAAGTACCATCTTTTCATGAATTTCGGTATGAAGCGGCCAGGGATCGGCCCTTTCGCTCTCCGGGTGGACGTTCTACCACTAGACCACAGAGGCGGTCCAAATGAGGGAGTGAGTTGAGTTTATGTCACATTTAGCATTATTTTTAAAAGTTTACTCCCACCACACCAATAGTACACTTCTCACATACTGGTAAACTACAACAAAGATGAATTTGAATTTCATTGCAGACGTCTGATGTTTTATCAGTGAGAGTACCATGCATGGACCAATGCTATATGATCTATGAATCATTATAAGATAACTGTTGAGTGATGTGAGACAAGGCTGCAGGACTCACCAGCATGCTGAGTGAGATGTCCGGACTGAGGCTGCACAGGCTCCCGGCAAGCCGTATCCCCATCTTCAGGTGACGCACTTTGAATGCCGATTCTGGTTGCTGCATGGCTTGTTCAAGGTCAAGGCCATCCATTGCCCACATCATAAGTGTATTCAACACATCTGGACAGAAACGATTGCCACACAATTAGTGAGTGATTGAATGAGCTGGGATTAACTCCGCTTTTAATCACAGCAGTTACATCCCAGCTTGTCAGCTTGATGTAGGAGGAAAGCCTGAAGTGCAGCAGGTCTCAGATATCACACACATTGAATATTACATGAGTGAGTGAGTTGGGTTTAACGCCGCTTTTAACAGTATTCCAGTTATATCACGGCAGGTCAGCTTAATGTGGGAGGAAAGCCGGAAGTGATGCAGGTCTCAGACGTTTACCACTTCAGTGAAACCTACAAGCACGGGTATGGTGCTGACAAAACTAGAAACATAATCGGGGCGAACCGGGATTCGAACCCACAATCAAAGGTTTCTGACATGCCCAAGGGACGCAACTCTGCACAGCGAATCGCGGCGCCTTAGACGACTGGGCCACCCTTGCCCCCGAATATTACATGAATGATACACATCTGGAGCAATAATCAAGCAATAGCAATATCCCACCAAGAACTGGCTCCACGTTGACCACTCTTCGCTTTAGTCCCTTAATGCTGAGCGCCAGGCAAGGTAACAACAAGTAACATCTCTTAATGTTTTTTTTTAATGGCACTGCGGACCATCTGGACCTTCCACTTTCTGGCTGAATTGTCTCTCCACTGGATCATGGAAGTGGTCATCATGTTCCGATTTATTCATATTACTATAGTTACTTTACAAGCCATGACAGATTAACTACAGTAATATAAAAGAATCGGGTGTTCTTAATTTCTTTTGAGTAGCGTATAATTGGAAAGTGGACCAAGCCAACAAGCAGAATTTTGATGTTTCAGAACTCACCTGTCCTGTGGTGTCGGACCAACAGGTAGGACAATCCTTTCACCAGGTACCCAGGAACATTTTCTAAAGCTTCAACCCACCTGAAATACACAAAGAGAATTGGCATTATATACCCTGATTTATAAGATTCAGTAACCCAGGCAGACAAGTAGCCATTCCCCTCATCAAACATCAGCCATGGCATTCGGTCAAGACAAAGCACAGGTTTGTTTGTTTGTTTGATTGTTTGTTTAACGCTGCACTCACCAATATTCCAGTCATATGACAGGGGTCTGTAAATAATCGAGTCTTGAAAAAGACAATCCAGTGATTGACATCATGAGCATCGATCCACACATTAAGGATATGATGACATGCATCAACCAAATCAGCAAGCCTGACCACATGATCCCGTTAGTTGCCTCTTGCATGGAGTCTGCTTTGTAATCCCAACAGAGTTAATACTGAGGGCATATGGGAACAGTTTTACATGACAGAGATGCTAAAGCCATATGACACGTGTCCCCTATTCTCACATAACTCTTGATATACTCCATTGCCCAAACTGAAGGAATCCTACTCGATAACATCATTTTTCATTATCAGTGTTCAAAATTAAGAAGGTCCTGGGGTCTTGGAGCTTGTTCCTACATTATTTTAACCTAGGCACCCAGTAACTGTTATAGATTTATCATTAGGTTTATGACAAGGACCCCTGGACTTTCTTGCTTAATTCCGAACACTTTTTATCAAGCAATTTCCTTGTAAAATTGTTCAAAAACAGATAACCATTTTCTTATGGGTAATTTCTTTTTCTGGATTCTGAAAACATATGTTGGCAGCCATTTTGTAAAGGGTTACCTTATTCTTGTTGTTAACAAAAAATTGGATCCATGATGGTCCAATGAAATCCTAACAACTAGATGGCACATGAACACTGCTTGAGAAATTATAGTTTAGCCTCATCAGACCAAGCGTCCATCTTACTTATCATGCTTGTCATCGTCAGTGAACTGCTTCAGGACGTTCCCAAGTTTGACAGCTTCCTCTGGACCTTCATCTGTCCCCTCTTCAGTTGTCTCCCCTGACTTGTCATCTGCCTGTTCCAGCGCTGTCACCTCCAGCTCATACAGGGTCGACGACGGGTCACAGAAAGTCTGTCACACAAACACAGATTTAGCCAGGATTCTCAACTAAGTGTAGGCAAATTGGGAATAGTCTCATTCAAAATGGCTTATCAGTAAAACTGTCAATAACTGTCAAAGGGGTTTTTATGACAAAGGCATCTTGACTGATTGTAGGTTCTGAATAATCCCTGAGTACTACTTACTGCCAGCGGAGATATGAATGTATGAAGTGGATTGAAAGTAGATCCTGGATATGTCCACGATTCGTCACCCAGCTCGTAGATATCCATGCCCTGCAACAACATTTTGAAACAATGACACGACAATTACATTCCTACAAAACATTATTTTATGAAAGATTCATTTGTTTTCAAAACTGTATACACATAGCTTAATGCATTTAAAAATAAACATACATAAACTCCAGAATTGCTAAAAGATGTCCCTGGTTTTAGATTATCTTGGCAATGACTCACTGGAATGATGTCTGCGTCCTCCCCCATGAGGTCGTCCTCTGACGAGATGTCTTCATAGCCTCCATCCTCTCCTTCCTGAAAGTAGTGGTTGGGAAGGGTTTAGATGCGTGAGCGAGGCTTAACACAGCTTTGAACATCATTTCAGTCATATCACAAAACTGCAAAAGCCAGAAAACATATCCATCCTCTAGAGAGGTTAGGTAATACCTGACACCGCTCAGCTATCTGATATTTGGCAGAAACTAATGCCACCAAAAACAAGACATGTTATTTTGGTCTAAACAAGCATGAAATCCTGCACACATACCGGCAGTTCTCCATCAGAAAACAGAGCATCAAGGGGAGACTGATCTGGGGTAAGAGTATCATAGATTTCATCCTGGCCCTCATCCAGGATTTCACCTGCAACCAAAGCAAACAAAATTTGTTACCAACATAAACATAAGACAATTCTTCCTGCATCTTTACAATGTTCTACTGCGCTGTTCTACTGCAAAGCACAATTCTGTAGATGACAGACATACCCAGCTCTGTTTCTTCTTCTGGAGGTGGTGGTGGTTCAGGGGGCCGCACTTCACGCATGATAGGTGACCTTGACCTTGATCGCTCAAATGACCTTCTCCGAATCGGTGGTTGTGGAGGACTGCGAGGTCTCGACTCTTTTTCCTCAAACGCCCGGAGACGTTCCCTTTCCTTCTCTTGTTCCCTCTCTTCCCTTCTCTGTTTCTCCCTCTCTCTTTCCCGTTCCCGATCTCTTTCCCTTTCCCGTTCTCTTTCTCTTTCCCGTTCCCTATCCCGTTCCCTTTCCCTGTCTCGCTCCCTGTCTCGCTCTCTTTCCCGATCTCTTTCTTTATAATAATCTCTGTCTCTGTCTCTATCACGGTAGTCTCTAGGCTCCCGGGAACTCTCCCTGGAACTGGAATAATCTCGACTGTCACTGTCTCTGGAGTTTCTCCGAGGCTTAACATCCCTATCTCTATCACGGTCCCTGTCTCTGTGGTAGTCCCAGTCGTAGGAGTCCCGGGACCGGGTTTCCTCCCTCGAGTCATATGGCTCCTTTGGTTCCGGTGGGAAGTCTCGGAACTCTCTGGGAGGTTGTTCGTGCGGCTCGGGATCGTGAGGTGGTTCTACAGGAGCTATTGATGGAAGAGCGGGGAAGTCTCTCACAGGTTCTAATATAGCTGGGGGTGGAACCGGCTGAGGTGGGGCATCAAACGCCCCAGGGACGGAGCGATACATGATGTCTGGAGGGGGGACAGGTTGTGGAGGGGGGACAAGAGAGACAGAAGGAGGTGGCACAGGCTGAGGTGGTGGAGCCTGGTTGGGAGGGGCATGTAGGAATGGTGGTTGTGCCTGGGGTGGAGCAACTTGCTGTTGCTGTTGAAGTTGCTGTTGTTGCTGCTGCTGCTGGAGCTGCTGCTGTTGGCGCTGCTGCTGCACGGCCTGTTCCAGGAGATCCAGAGGATGCTGTTGTGCAGGTCTGGGTGGGGGCCTCACCTCTACTTCCTGGTGGGAGTCGGGAGTGCTGGAGGCACGGCTCTCTGGAAAACAAAACCACCATATTATTAGGTTTCTACATTTGCTTTTGGATCTCACAAATAATTAGCTCTTTCAAATTCTCACAAATGTTACCTACCTGTGTTGGAGCGAATGAAAGGAAGGCTTATGCTGTGGTTAACATAATTTCAGGAATAATAAGTTGGCCTGTAAATATTCAAGTCTTGGACAGCCAGACAAGTAGTTGATAGCATGAGACAGATCCACCCTGTTTGGACCACATTTCAGCCAGGTCATTCTAGAGGACAAGCACGGGGTGTTGAATATGAAAACATGCAACTTCAATAGAGTTTCCTTTTGCAGATTTTTCCTGATTTCTTACTAAATACTAGAATGTGCCGAAAGTCATGTTTTGGCCTGGGTGCAGGTTGTGGTTGACAGGGAGGGGGAGGGGGGATCTCTCTCCAGTCTCACTTACCCTGTGCTTTTGGCCTGGGTGCAGGTTGTGGTGGAGGGGGAGGGCGCTTCTCCCTCTGGTCTCACTTACCCTGTGCTTTTGGCCTGGGTGCTGGTTGTGGTGGGGTGGAGGGGGCATCCCTTTCCAGTCTCACTTACCCTGTGTTTTTGGCCTGGGTGCTGGTATTGGTGGGGGTGGAGGGGGTGGGGACTCTCTCTCCGGCTTCATCACCACGGTTGTCATGCTGCCATACACTGCCAGGGTGAGTGTGTTGTACCAACCCTTCAGTATCAAGCCATCAGTCGGCACCTACACACATACACAGACATTAGCAGGAAGATACATGTACAGTCTGTGCCAGAAACATGTACATCTCTTAGGCTAAAATCAGTTTGGGGAAACTCTTTTGTTTCTTAAATGTAGTAACCAAAATGATTTATCCTTCAATTTAGAGTGTACTTTGTATAGTGTATCACATTGCTAAATACACATATATTTGCAAGGAATAAACAATTTCAAACAAATTACACACATGAATACTAAGTTAATTGTAGGTTGAAGATGAAGTCAATGCATTCAAGGCTCTTCCTCTTTATAATTAAATAAAAGTCACCTTGACTGTTTGTTTAACGCCACACTCAGCAATATTCCAGCTATACGACGACGGTCTGTAAATAATCAAATCTGGACCAGACAATCCAGTGATTGACATCATGAGCATTGATCCACGCAATTGGGATACAATGACATGCAACCAAGTCAGCAAGCCTGACCACCCGATCCCATTAGTCGCCTCTTATGACAAGCATAGTTGCCTTTTACGGCAAGCATGGGTTGCTGATTCTAACACAGATCTTGACCTTGATTGTGCCAGCACAGTAGTTATAACTATACTACCATGAACCAGAAAAAGTTTACATTTTGGAAATTTCACCAATCAAATCAAACTCACGTCTTCATCTGGCTTCATCATAATTGTGACATTCTCCTTGTAGTCCAGGCTGAAATAAACAACCAGTGTTTGCCGTTCATAATACACCACTCGATACTATGTTTGTTTCCTCAGAGTGAGCCAGACAATTTGGTTGATATTATGAACAACGTTCAATCACTGAGCCTGTCATCTTGACAAATCTGCCAACACAAATCCCAGATGTGACTGGTGTGCTATTGACAAAACTATTAACAACCAACATGACTAATCATGCTAATACAGTCGCTGATAATTAAGAATGAAAGTCCAGGGTGAGGTGAGGTGAAATTGGGTTTAACGTCGCGTCCAAGATTATTGCACTTATATAGCGGCATGCATGCACATGTGTGTGTGGCTGCTTGTACTATTCCAGACTGATGCCGATTTATAGTGCTAGTACACTGAGATACCATGCCGCAGTTTAACATGAATACCCCACTCAGACACAGTATACTGACTCCGAGCCGACCAGTCCTTGTTTTAGCCCTTTAATGCCAAGCGCCAGACAGGGTAACAACAAGTACCATCTTTTAACGTCTTTTGGTATGACGCGGATGGGGATTGAACCCCGGACCTTCCGCTCTCGGTGGGGGACGCTCTACCACTAGACCACGGAGGCGGTCAAAAGTCCAGGGACCTTGGCATAACATCATGTTAAGAGCTACAGACTTGGGAGTTTCCAGATCAAAAAGTGTTGAAGCAAGTCTCATGGACCCACATCATTGTGAACACTAGTCATGTGACTTTAACATTACAGATACAAATGTGTGATATACATACATGCCCAGCTTCTGAAAGGTGGAGGCATTTGGTGTGCTGAGATTGTTGGCATACAACTCCAACTTGAATGACGAGGGATTGGTAGCTCTGCAACACAAGCAAGTACTATTTAGAATATGTGAACGCAGACATGCCCTATCAAATCACATAAAACGATGTTGCATCTGTGATTATGAACTATGATCATTATACCTGACAAGTGTGATTACGGTATTCAGTTAAATTGATAAATCATCATGATCATGTTCATCTTTCCTTGGTTCTTCTGTCGCATGATAAAGTGTATCAAGAAAATGTAGAGGAGAATATTGATCACTGTCTAAAGTAACATGAAGTGCATTAGACTAGTTAACCATGTGACCACCGTCATACAGCTGGAATATTGCTGAGTGCAGTGTTAAACAACAAACAAACAAAGTTAACCATGTATTTGTTTACCCAAGTCTCACGCCTCCAGGAAAGTCTGCCTGGACCTGTGTTCGGAGTGGAATCACTCGTACCTCATAGATTATCACTGGGCAAGGGAACTGTACCAAGTCTAAGTTAAGCTCCTATAAGAAAACAAAAAAATGTCAAGTTAGTAATTAGATTTTGTGAGCATTGTTGACCATGTTGACAAAGTAATTATATGTGACATGTCATATGAACCATATGTAAAAGCTAAAGATACACATTATTACATGATATAAAATACCATGAAATACTTCATGCTAGCTGCTTAAGCATGTTAGGTTCAGTGTATTCTGGGATCCAGTAACACCTCTGCTAAATCATAACATGCATAAACATGATAAAGCATGTAAAGTATATTGCTACTCATGGAAATGTGTGTGTTGACCTGTTTAAAAGAACTTCATATGTTCATCAGTATAATATATTTCTAACCAGGAAATCTATCCACAAGATTTCACAGATCATCCTTGTTTAGTTTTGGGTTAAACCTTCCTAATAACAGGGTTAGAAACTTCATAAAAGGTGTACAGATTTTCCCACATTACATTGGATTATTTTGTGAAACAAGAGGTTAACCCATACCCTCACTCACAACTAACCCAAAGGGGAACAGATTAGCAAGTGGTGCCCAAAGAGGTACCTCGCCCTACTCATTGTAAAGGGTTGCTTGATTGGACATTCAAGGGATGAGGATAGAGTTGTTGGTAACCTACACTAATCCTAACACAACTAACCCAAAGGATCAAAGATGCATAAAAGTTCAGTGGAGGGAGAGCCACAGTCTGAGCCAATTTATTAGCGAAATGAGCTGCTTCCAGAAAATTGCAATGTTGCTCGTTTCACTGTCCTACTCGGGAGACGTTCCTGTATGCCGTCGGGAGTCCCAAGTGAGTAGACAATAAGGGGGATGCTACATGTCCTAGACAGTAAACATGGCAGGCCTAATGGGACGACACAGACATGATAGAGATGTCGTTTCCTCAAGCGCCGAGACAGTTACATAATCCAAGGAGGATCAATGAAACAATAAAAGGGACAGTCTATCCATGTTTGCTCTCCAGATCTACATCCTGGCGTCATTGTAAACAACCCTGCATCGTCCAGTTTTACAAAATTACAGATTTGTTTTAAGCGGGCCATGTGACGAAAACAGCAACAGGCGCATTTGCAAATCAGTGGCAGTATTAACGATGCAACATTGTGTCCATCTTCCCTTGCGTCTAAGAAATTACGTGCAAAGTATATTGAACATTTATCACCTCTGCATTTTCATGTGAAAAGGTATCAAAGAACAAAAGTTCGATCTGCCGATCGACGTCGGCCATGTTTCTTCTCGCTTGAATCACGTTAAATCCCTAGTTATCTCCCTTAGTCGGCGAGATGTTGTCTGCTCGTGCTTGAACTCCACATGGGGAAGAATACACCAAGCGTGTCAATATTCATGCAGAAAATTATTTCAGGTTTTTTTTTAATACAATTTTCAAATTTATCTCGACAAGAACTAAACAGCCTACCGTATCCTTAGACGATTCTCCCTTTAAAAGGTTCATATACCCCGCTGAACAGATTTTCAATCTAAATTGGGATAGTCCAAGACATTGAAGGATGTTTTCGCGCAACTATTAAATCATTACAATTTTATTGGCTCATACCTCCATAGTTTCAAACATACGAACTAGTCCATTGAATGGACCAAATACTGGTCTCTGGTTAGAAAGAGAAAAAAGATATCGCGTGAAGGGTGGTTTTTTTATGTTTCCGAAACAAATCACTCGTCCTATTGTCCTTGCCAAACTGCACACTACAAAATTTGTAGTTAACATTATGATGTCTAGTGGACTAAAAATACTAGTTTCTAACACTGGTATCTATTATCGAAAATATTTAATCGATGTTTAAACTACATGTAAGTATGTTCACTACAGCTTATTAACTCAACAAATTAACTCGCTGTGTAATATTGTAATAATTGTGTTTGTCAATTTTCTAAGATGCCAGTTGTAAATCTATGTTAAAGGGAAGTTAAGATCACCTTAGCACTACAATCGCTTTGTGTAACGAACCCCAGGGCGCTTATTACTGCGAATACAATACACGGAAAATACAGTAAACGTTACTATTTTGCCTAGAACAATATTCATTCCTGGAAAGTTTAAAGTCAATTCACTCAAACACAAATGTGTTTGTTTACTGGCTTAACTTTTATTTTTCAAACAGTTTAACGACTACCTTTATCAATACTACTATACACCTGGTGTCAAAGTTTGTCAAGTCTTCCAATGAGTTTTCTGTGTAGCAAACAAATTAGCACATTTTTCAATCTATTTTGGCCATAAAATTAAAGTATGCTATAATACAAAATCATCTCCGCAACATTTACATAATTTGAGTTTTAATATACGATGTTAACAAAGTATCTGACAGGGAATATACGGTAACAGTGAATGAACCGTTGACGACATCCATCAGGATAGTTACTGTCATAAAATGAGCCAATTATTTACTGGTGTATTTAAGTGCAAAAATAACGCTGTGAAAATTACTTTTGCGACACTGACTGAAATAGCATGAAAAGTTGGCAGACACTGGAATGTACCCCAGGAACAACACAATGAAACACGATGGTGCGATTGCAGGGATTATTCCCTAGTATTGTATTGTCCCCCGATACCCCCATGTCGTGTAGCAGTGGAATAAACAAAGTCACACTATGTAACCTCCCCGGGGACGTGGATCGTGCTATATAAGCTGTTGATAGTGCCTCGCCTGCACCGTTCCATTACAGACCACGGTGTTTGCTAACAGTGGCGGAACAACACTCCCTCAGTCACGCAAACAAATACGGTATACATGTTTGAGAAATACAAGATAGTCGTCGAAATATCTAACAATGTAACAACCATCATATATTCACACTGTGTTTACTGATATACCGTGTTTGCTATTATATTTATAACATACACATCATACGCATATATATATGGCTAGAGTGACATAAAAATGAAAACATAGTTGCACAAAATAGTAAACAATGTAGCTTTATCACAAATGAAAGGTTGGATAACAAACACGTTTCACGTAGCGTCAGGTATCAAGCATATACGAAATGATTTCATTATCCTCAATTCTAAACAGCAAAAAGACCTACTGTCAAACCAATACTAAATAACTGGACGAGCGGTCTGGTGTGGTGGAAAGGGCACGCTACCTCTAAACATGCATAGCTTCTGTTCGGTAGCAAGAAGATTGCTTCCCCTAAAGCTACTACCAGTAGATGGCAGTGCTAGTCAAGTCACAGAAACTACCCTACAGGTAAACATTATTGTGTTTTTAGCAGTCGAAGTTACTTCACTTGTGTAAATGTGAAATCACAACGGGAAAGTTCCATAAGTTTATAGGTAAAGGGTCTAGCGCTGTGACATCGCTACGCTAATCGCTGTTTATTGAGTAGGGTGTTGCCGTTGGAGCGGTATGTGTAGTATTTGCAAGGCTATATACAGTGGATCATATTAGTTCATATTCAGGGTATGCCGCAACACTTGGTATGTATTCACATTAATATTCTGATTATTCGTATGTTACATTTAGTTTGTAAAGTGTATCACCAAAAAGCGTTTGGAAATGTTAAAGAAAAACTTGTCTCAAGGAAAGAAAAGTCAAAATGTACTCGTCAGCCAAGTTATACCATGGGCAATCATATTCACATGTGTTTTGTCTGTCAGTCAAGTTATACCATTGACAATCATATTGACATGTGTTTTCCTTCTTTGGTACATTAACATAGAGTATGGATTTCGCTTTGAACTCTGACATATTTCAGTAGTCCGTTTGGGATCAGTCATCTTGTAGCATTCAAATATCATTAATATTGATACTATTTTTAATTAGGTACTTCGATCAATTGGCAGTCCAGTGAAGTTAAAATAAAGTTATTCATACATTCCTTGCTTTCAAGTTTAATGATTTAGATCTAGCAATAAGAGATTGTTTTACATATCCACAGATAATGAGAGTGCGACTCTAGCTTTCCCAAAAACCTGAGACTAGTGATAATTCATTTTATTAAGGGACTAATAAAATTCTTATGAATACTATCCCAGTTGTCTGGTAGTATATTCATATGCTTTGTGTTTTACCACCTTCTTTATTCAACTGAGAAATGAACGATTATGAATCTTATCTCCCTTCAACCATTGATGTTATGGCTCAGTGGTATACTTCAGCAAATATGTTTGATAATTGCTCTACACAGAGTTGAGGAAAGAAACTCCTTCACACACATCTTCCACCACAAAATGACACAGGAGATAGAGGTTTGGTCATACTTCCATCCATACAAACTTCAATGGGGACACATTCTTTTTATGGACATCTCTTTGATACAAGGACGACATGTTTCCTACATCATTAAGGGATACAGATTTTTTAGAGGTTTGATTTTTGAACATGGTATATGGTAAAATCCAATGGGGTTAGGTTTTCCTAAAACCCACTATTGCATACTATCAGCTGAGTATGTACAGTAAACTACATTTATAACGAACATCTCATAATATAACAAACTGACAGTTATAACAAACTTGTTTTAGGCCCAGACATTTGCTGTGTATATGCTGTACATATGCTTATAACGAACTATGGTTATAACAAACTAATATTAGTGATCCCTTTGAGTTTGTTATGACCGTAGTTTACTGTAGTTTGTATAGTTGACATTTTGAGTACATCTGTAACATTGAATACATCAGTAACATTGAACATGTTGAATATGAAATGGACCCGTGAAGATCCGGGGTAGAATAGGTCATCAGCAACCCATGCTTGCCGTAGAAGCGACTATGCTTGTTGTAAGAGGCGACTAACGGGATCGAGTGGTCAGGCTTGCTGACTTGGTTGATGCCTGTCATCGATCCAAATTGCGTGGATCGATGTTCATGATGTCAATCACTGGATTGTCTTGTCCAGACTCGATTATTTACAGACCGCCATCATAATAGCTGGAATATTGCTGAGTGCGGCTTTAAACAAAAAACAAAACAAACGAATATGTAATGGATATGTTACCAACTTTGAAACCCCCAGCCATATGTTTGATAGTTGTTCTGCGCAGAGTTGAGGGCACCCATTGGGACCTAGCTATAATCCCCCACGACACAAAAAGGGACAGGCGAGAGAGGTTTGGATCCCATGTGTCAATGGGGACAACTTTTTATGGATGCTGCTTTGATACAAGGACATTTTGAATACATCATTCAAGGATATATAAAAGTTCGAAAATCAATAATGTACAGGGGTTTGGACCCTGTTTGACTTTTTTGACCTAGCATTGTACTATATATACTATGTATAACATTGATCAGGATAAAAATGAAATAGAACCATTATAGCACAGTATGTAGTATAGATTGTTGACGTTTTGTTTTGTTTGTTGTTTAACGCCGCACTCCACAATATTCCAGCTATGTGACAACGGTCTGTAAATAATCAAGTCTGGACCAGATAGTTCAGTGGTTGACATCATGAGCATTGATCCACGTAATTGGGATACGATGGCATGCATCAACCAAGTCAGTGAGCATAACCACCTGAACCCATTAGTCGCCTCTTTCGACATGCATAGTCGCAAAAAAAAGTGGAGGTCCTGACTGTTTGGTTGGACTAGGTACTGCAGTCTGGTATTCTGCCTCAAGTTGAGAAAGACGATAATACATGCAGCATGCAGTTGTCTTTGCACTTGGCAATAACAAGGTGAGGCGGGTGTTTGGTGATGATATGGGTGGGGATGAAAGAGTAATAATTATTTGTTATGTCGTGATTAAAAGGTAACTTCACCAAGGAAAGAGTCATATTTCATTGTCAACATGGTATTGAGAGACTGCCCTGGTTGTAACGTACTTGATGGATATGTTCTTTAGCAAACCCATTCGTGAAGGGTATCAGCAATCTGTCGGCCATTCAACTGGCACCACACACAGTATCTAAGTCCATTATCGGGTCTGTGGAAACAGATATAGTCAAAGCTTTTGTAGCTGTGTAGAAATACACATGTGAGCTACAGTTTGGCTGTGGACAATGTTTCTTTTAAAGGTATTGTTGTTTGAGTGGTGATGTGTATGATTTGTGTAGAAATATGGAGGTTCAATGTGTTTATGGGATGTTATGTCCACAGGGTGAGATTGATAGTAGGCTTTGTATGTTTACCATGTTTACATAGAGTCATTTGCTTCATGGGGGTTGATCTATTGACAAGAAATAAGAATGGAAAGATTTTAGGAGGATATTAGGATGATAATAAGACACACATTACTTCTACAAGTGCTGAATTGAATCTGTTTGGGGCAGGTTTAGAAAAGTACCAGCCTGCAAGGTCATAGTTTCATTCTTGTTTTATTACGTTTGGGTGTTTTTGTTTTTGAGTTACAAGAAGCCTTGAGCCTCTGATGTTCATCTTTATCTTGATAAAGTAACTGAGTAAAACAAACATAAATAGGCCTCAAAATAAACATCTTTTGTCTTATTCAGGGGAATCAGTCTGAGGTTTATGATAATACTTAAGGTCGTGTTTCATAAATTTCCCATGGTCCAGTTGGTACATCTGTTTTTGTTCTTTTCACTAACTGTACATGCCAGAATATTCTATAGTGCTTTTGGAAGTGTGTCTGACCACCTTGTTTCTAACATCTATAAGTTTATTCTGCTAGTGTGCATACCATGATGGTGGGTCCTGGGTTTGAATCTCAGAAGGGGCAGTCATGTTGAGCAGTGGTTAAAGGGTTCCCTCGTCATGCCGAAGACCCGGGTTCAATTGAAGCCCATTTCTGGTGTTTCCCGCCGTGATATTGCTGGAATATTGCTTAAAGCAGCGTAAAACAATACTCACTCACTCACTTGAATCGCAGATTCTCTGTGATAATGGTCCTGGTTTTATGAGGGGAGGCCGGCCTTGTGTGTTTCCCCACACAGCTCATCAGACAGGTAGTGTTTAGCTGATCATACATCAGCCTCACGCGCCCTGCATGATCACATACATCAATCTGACTGATATTAGCCAGGTACGTAGGTATCAGGTGTGCCTGCACCTGTTCAATCATTGATTCAAGTGGGATTTTGTTCAAGGAAGTCACTTATCTAATGTTATTTTGCTGGTTGACTGAGCAATATGTCATGATATATCAGAAGCCAACCTACTTCGAACAAAAATAGAAAGATGTAGTTCTGGGTGTCGTTGTACAGAGTGATCTTAGTGCTAAGGTGATCCTAACTCCCATACCTAAACAAAGCTTTACGACACTTCATGGGGGTTGATCTATTGACAAGAAATAAGAATGGAAAGATTTTAGGAGGATATTAGGATGATAATAAGACACGCATTACTTCTACAAGTGCTGAATTGAATCTGTTTGGGGCAGGTTTAGAAAAGTACCAGCCTGCAAGGTCATAGTTTCACTCTTGTTTTATTCAATTTGGGTGTGTTTGTTTTTGAGTTACAATAGGCCTTGAGCCTCTGATGTTCATCTTTATTTTGACAAAGTAACTGTGTAAAACAAACATAAAATAGGCCTCAATACAAACATCTTTTGTCTTATTCAGGGGAAGCAGTCTAAGGTTTATGATGATGCTAAAGGTCATGTTTTATAAATTTCCCATGGTTCAGTTGGTATATTGGGGGCACGAGCGGCCCATTTGTCTAAGGCGCCACGATTCGCTGTGCAGAGTTGCATCCCTTGGGCACGCCAGAAACCTATGATTGTGGATTCCAATCTCGGTTCGCCGTGATTATATTTCTAAGTTTGTCAGCATCATACCCATTCTCATGGGTTTCACCAAAGTGGTAAACGTCTGAGACCTGCATCACTTCCGGCTTTCCTCCCACATTAAACTGACACGCCGTCATATAACTGGAACACTGTTAAAAGCGGCTTTAAACACAACTCACTCACTAGTGATACGGATAGGTGTTGATGCCGAAGTGTATTTTCTACTGAAGCTGTTTTTGTGGATGGATATGGGTAAAAAGATATGGGTGGGTGTAAATGCCATGGTAAAACTGAAATACAGCCCAGAGTGATGCTACATCCAGATACTCACTGTATACCAAGCAGGCAGTTTTGACAGGCGTGTAGCTTTAAAATGTTTGGAAATTTAGCCCTAATCTCAAATTGATTCACTGATGCAATTCCGAAAGACATGCTTCTAAAAATATAGTGTGAACATGTGTTGCCATGGAGATAAGCGTATTTACCTAATCAGCCTCAACTACTGAGATGTCATTAAGTGGAAAAGAAACTGCACCCAATTTTAAACCAGGTGATTAACATTTGCTCGGAATTTTAAACATCTCAAATGAAATAATCCAGTAGGTGATGATGAGCTCTTGAACACAATAAGGCAGTTGTTACGTTGTGCTTTGATGTTGTGTCGATGGCCAGGAGGTATTCCTAGGTGTAGATTTTACCTTTGTCTTAGCGGGGTTGATTGTTACCTGGTTGGGGGTTGAGTGATGGCTGACAGTCTCAGGGGGAATTCTTGGCACATATTTACC